ACTTGGTCCTTTTTCCCCTGGACTATCAGAATATAATTGCTATTTATATGATGATGAAATTCATAAAGTTTAATTTAATAAATATTTCAGGACCAGCATAAAACATTTCAGTGCACAAAATAACTCTCTGTGCATCCTGCATGGAAAAAATAGGAATCCAATCTAAACAGTGATCATTTTCTTCTAAAAAAAACTTCCGCCACAAAATATAGTTCCTGAATTAATGGTTTTTGTATGGAATTTAATCGTGGGTTCTTAATTGAATATAGTTTAATTTGCATTATAGAATCCAAACTTAATAGAAGAACTAAAATATGATGCAGGATTTTAAAAATAAAGGTTTAAACAAAAATCTGCTCAAAACCACTGCGGGGATTTAGATCTAGATTTGGATCCGCACCTTTTCTTCTCGAATTACTCGGGCGTCACGTGGCTGTATTAATAAGTCCAAAGAGACTCGAAAGCAATAATGGCGACCGTGATCATCTGGTAACAAAAATTTCTTTATTTTCATAAATTCATCACTTTGTCACAAATGTGATATTATTTGTATAGTTGAAGGATCAATTTTTAATACACTTAATTAATACTGAATCAGAATACACTAAAACCCCGGTAAAACGTGCACATCTTTTCATTATTTGAGACACTGGGTGTTGGGGAAACCGTAAAACACCACAGCCCCATGATTGTACAGTGCTAATCTGTGTCATCTCTGTTCAAAAATTGGTATTTGTATCTCTAAATATTTTTGTTATGTTTTTAAATATCAAACTACAAAGATTTTTCTTTATTTCTGGATCAAATATATCTGTGGTTGACTTTTGATAGGTTTGTATTTCTTAGGACATGTAGGAAGGATTTCACATTTTAGATGTACGGGGGGGGGGGGGGATCTCCTATGCAGAGTTGTCGTTCGTTCCTCTCTCAGACACCTCTGCAATGGGCTTGCATCAAGATTTTTGACATAACATAAAAACATAATATTTCTAGGATTATTTCAAATTAAACTAATAGTTTTAGATCTATTTAGTAAATATCTATCTTTAAGGACTATCAATAGCTCAGAATTTAATTAAAATGAATTAAAAGAAACGCACTATTTCTCGTGCTTATCACTGTGATGTACGCGAGCCAACGACAGAGGTGAATGTATGAGCCGATGGTAGAGAGTGGGGGGGGGGGGGGCAGATGGATAGATTAGTGCAGGTATTGAGCTAATGTGAATACGCCATATGCACTTTTCATGCTAATGTCATTGAAAAAAAAATGCATGATTTTCATGTTCAGTTATAATGCAAGACTGAATCAGATGAAGTGGAGTTATAATTGGATAAAATGTTCTGTATTGGTTATATCATAGATGTTGAGTAGTAGGGTGAATTCACCATGCATCGGACACCCTCGCACTTCAGCAAGTTCTAGCGATATCGCTACCGACCGAATATTATCAAAATGGAACTTAACATGTAGTATGTGGTTAAAATATAAATTTTTGACACAATCGTGTCCTATTTACTAAGAAAATATCATTAAAAACCGATTTTTTCGAAATAAGCCAGAATTCACCATGGATCGGACAATGTGCACCATGCATCGGACACACGATATTTAAACCAGAAAAATATTATACTTTGATCTCGGTGCTTTAAAATTAGTGAAATCGAAACATTTTTATCTTTTACTTAAAAATTAACCTTTTAATTAAATTTAAATGACTATTTCGATTCACAAATGTGAAGAGATTTTAGTTGCATCACATCGCCTTAGACAGGCTTTACAATGCTAGTAATATGGCAACTCACGCCTTTGTCTCGTGGGTTATTATCATCTAGTTTAAAGAAATGAATTGAGACCACTTCTAGTCGTCATATATCGATAATTTGTATTTTCACTGAAAATTTAGAGTTTCTGTTTTCTATTTCCGTAAAAAACAGCTGTCATTTGGGTTTTACATGAAAATGGAAGTGATCACCCATGCATCGGAAAGTGTCCGATGCATGGTTAATTTGTGTCCGATGTACGGTGAAATAAACATACTAGTTAAAAACAACTCTAAAAAATATTATACAAACACTGAGGTAAAATTTTTGAAAAATTTCTGTAAAATTATCAATCGTTGACAAATTTTACCGAGGTCCGACCCGTTCCGTTGAAGTCTATTTAAAAGAACGACAACTCTAAAAATTGCAAAATCGTAAAATTCTGGTTACTCCCCTTTGATGATGCAAAATATGACGTAATTTCAAGGCCATTCTTGTGGTATTTTTATCACAACATGGAAATAAAAATCGGCATCATTAAAAAGTTTAATTTTTCACCTTTAATACAGAAACAAGTAAAAACACGGGGAGACTAAGGTTCAATGAAAGTTTACTGCTTAAAGTTGTCCGAAGCAAGGTATGTGTCCGATGCATGGTTAACTCACCCTACTGAATATACAGTTTCATGGGGCTTGAAAATGGCATATGTACAGTGTTTAAAACTGCTGTTCAGAGTGCAAATTGAAAATGGAACCTTTTGTTAAAGCCAGATCATAATTATGGAGATAAAAAAGTTTTAATCAAGTTATAATTTAATTTTAATTTAAGTTTTAATCTAAAAGTAGAAGTTAAAACATTTCCAGTATAAAAGTTTTAGATGTCTCTGATTTTACATCTTGAAAGTAATTACTGCATGATTACTTACCCAGGCAGTATTCTCTAATGCCCATGGATCACATAGTGTTTATAAAAATTAAAAAAAAATCACTTTCTTATGTATACAGTGTTCAATTATGTTTCATCACTATTGGGATGGATGGTTCAGTTTGTTTTTATAGAAATTAAAAAATAATAAATATCAGGCTTGTGGTGCACAGGACACTTTTTCTGAGAGTTTTGCTGTAGTTTGATTTGTAAATTTTCATTTAGATGCTCCCCCCCTCCCCCGACAATATTGTTTCCAGACAATATCTCAAAAAGCCTTTGAGCTTTTGCAATGAAGTTTTATATCACAACTCCCTGTGGACTTAGGAAGACCACTATTGATATTGAGGTCAAAAGGTCAAAGTTCAAGGTCATAAATTCATACATTCTGTCCATGTGTTACACTTTCGTTTCTGGATGATATCTTAAAAAGTCTGAGCTTTTGCAATGAAATCATATATATATCACAACTATTGACTTTAAGGCCAAAATCTAAAAGATCAAGGTTGACCTTTTCTAGCTCACCTGAGCTGAAAGCTCAAGTAAGCTTTTCTGATCACATTTGTCTGTAGTCCGTCTGTCTGTCTGTCTGTCAACTTTTTACATTTTCGACTTCTTCTCCAGAACCACTGGGCCAATTTCAACCAAACTTGCCACAAAGCATCCTTGGGTGAAGAGGATTCAAGTTTGTTCAAATGAAGGGCCACACCCTCTTTCAAGGGGAGATAATTAAGAATTAGTGAAAAATTAATAGCATCTTTTAAAAATCTTCTTCTCAAGAACCACAGGGCCAGGAAAGATGAAACTCATGTGGAAACATCCTCAGATAGTGTAGATTCAAGTTTGTTCAAATCATGACCCCCGGGGGTAGGATGGGGCCACAATGGAGGATCAAAGTTTTACGTAGAAATATATAGGAAAAATCTTTAAAAATCTTCTTCTCAAGAACAGCAAAGCCATGATGAGTTATATTTATATGGAAGCATCCTCAGATAGTGAAGATTCAAGTTTGTTCAAATCATGACCCCAAGGGGTAGGGCAGGGCCACAATGAAGGATCAAAGTTTTACATAGAAATATATAGAAAAATCTTTAAAAATCTTCTTCTCAAGAACAGCAAAGCCATGATGAGTCACATTTTAATGGAAGCATCCTCAAGTAGTGTAGATTCAAGTTTGTTCAAATCATGACCCCCGGGGGTAGGGTGGGGCCACAATGGAGGATCAAAGTTTTACATAGAAATATGAAGGAAAAATCTTTATAAATCTTCTTCTCAAGAACAGCAAAGCCCTGATTGGTCATATTTATGTGGAAGCATCCTCAGGTAGTGTAGATTCAAGTTTAGTCAAATCATGACCCCTGGGGATAGGGTGGGGCACAATGGAGGATCAAAGTTTTACATAGAAATATATAGGAAAAATTTTAAAAATCTTCTTCTCAAGAACAGCAAAGCCCTGATTGGTCATATTTATGTGGAAGCATCCTCAGGTAGTGTAGATTCTATTTTGTTCAAATCATGACCCCCGGGGATAGGGTGGGGCCACAATGGAGGATCAAAGTCTTAAATAGAAATATATAGGAAAATATCTTCTTCTGAAGAACTGCAAAGCCATGATTAGTCATTTTGATATGGAAGCATCCGCAGGTAGTGTAGATTCAAGTTTGTTCAAATGATGACCCTGGGGGTAGGGTGGGGCCCATTGGGGGATCGAAAGTTTTACATAAGAATATATAGAAAAAAAATTTCTTCTCAAGAACAGAAAAGCTATGTTTAGTCAGATTGATATGGAAGCATCCTCAGGTAGTGTAGATTCAAGTTTGTTCAAATGATGACTGCTGGGATAGGGAAGAGCCACAATGGGGGATCAAATTTTTACAAAGGAATATATGGGAAATTTTTTAAAAAAATCTTCTCAAGTACAACAAAGCCATTTGTTTAATTGACTGATTTGTGCTTTTGCCTAGCCAATGTGCTCAGGTGAGCGATGTGGCCCATGGGCCTCTTGTTCTTCCTCCATCTGAAAAATTTGTCTAGTTCTTCCATCCTCTTCTTTTTTCTTAAATGGAAGACACCAATTCTCTGAATTAGCATTTTTTTTTGCTTGTCAAATTTCTGCAGAGATTGCACCCCCTCCTCCATTTTGAAAAAAACCCCCAAAAAACAAAAACGTTTCTAAAGGCTTGAAAACATTATTTTTGTTTTAACTGTCCCCACTCCATACAAAAAGATTTTTGCTTGAATTTGTTTATGTTATTGACGTACATTAAACATGTTAAATATGCAATATATTCAACAGATGCAGCAGGCATGATTTGAATATCAGTGTCCATTTAATGTTAAACCATGATCCCAAAGACTGCAGTCAGACCTTGTGATGTTACACTAACCCAAAAATGAAATGGAATGTTACTGACCACCATGTCCACCGAATCATCTCTTAATGCTGCTCACTTTGAGCGCAGCTTGTCTGCATCAGCTGTTGACCATACAACAAATAAATTCTTGTCTGAAGACTGCAAAAAAGACCAAAATGGGAACGAGCAAGAAACTCCCAAAGAGTGTCTCTTGGATCAAACTGCAAATGGACATGGAGAAAAGTTGGAGGAAATTAGCTGTCGTTTCAGAAATGGCCATGCTGAAGATGGTGCTGATTTATCTGATAAAATTGCAGCATTAAAAGTGGAAAGCAATGGACTTAGTACTGTGTCAGAGGAAGAGAAAAAGGAGAAAGTGAAAGGTGAAGTGTTGGGAAAACCCCCTCTGCCTAAAAATAAAACAAACTCCAATGCTGGAAAACAATCTTGGTTACTGCGATTGTTTGAGTCCAAAATGTTTGATATGTCCATAGCCATCTCATATCTGTTTAACTCAAAGGAACCAGGTGTTCAAACATACTTAGGTTTGTGATTTTTAATTCTTTTTTTTATGAATTGTTATTTTGTAGATTTCAGATAAATGTGCTTATTTATTTCCATCTTTGATAATTATTTTTTAACAAGATTACCATAGGTATTTATTGTAAAATGATTCAAATTAATATTTTCCAATATTCACAGACTAACTCAGTAAGTTTGGGTTCCCTTTTGAAATCTTCAAACATTACTCTTGCAATCTATTGTAAAGTGAATGGTTCAGAACAATGAAGGGAGACCAACCTACTGTTTGTTAAATTGGAAATAATCTATGATGATGATTCTCTAATAAATTGAATTCAAGCAAATTTATGCATACATCTGAACATTGGTATCTCGAACATCAATGTCTTGAATACCATGGATGTCAAAGTGATATGGAAGTCCTAAACACTTTGAGTATATTACCCTAAATATCTCGAACCCTCTGATATCACAAAGTTATTTCTTGGTCCCATTGAGTTCGAGATAACAAGGTTTGACTGTATGTATTATTTATATAAGGGCATTGTTAAATTCATTGTTAAAGATGAAAACATGGTGGACATGCTGAATTATCTAACAGTGTCAGAGTTATCTCTCTTAGGAGAGGGTCATTCTTGATTTTTTTTTCTTTCACATTTTAGGAAATAGGTTGTTCAGTTTCCCTGAAGATGAGGTGGACTTTTACTTGCCCCAGCTGCTAAATATGTACATTCACATGCATGATGTAGCCGAGGCCATTCACCCTTACATCGTTTATAGGTGAAGGCCCTTATTAAATATAGATATGTAAAGTACCTATTATCAACTGTACTGCAATATTCTTAGACTAAATTGGCCTATTATTGGTAGTACATGTAGAAGTATAAATTTATAACTAGTGAGGTTGTTCACATATTTAGACAACATGATGATTTAAATACAATAATGATAATTGAGTAAATCTGATTTGTTCTTACTTTGTAAAAAAAGTTGAATCTTTTTTAAAATTGACATTTTTATCAACTGTATGCTATTTTAGTTTTATTTAATCTTGAAGACTGTAACATCTGTTCACGTGGACAGACTGAATGATATAAGCAATAATATGCCAATTAAGGAATTAGTAGAAGATTGGGTAACAAAATATGTGAATTTAATTACAGGTGTCGCCAGAGTGTAGAATTTTCTCTTCATACTGCCTGGATTCTTAGTGCCTATTCTGCAGATGTATTAAAGCCAAACTGGAAAAACTCACAAGGAATCAAATTGAAGAATATGATTCTAAATGAAGAATTAAGGTACACTTCTCCATGTAGTATTGTCTAAATTTCATTGTTTTCCCATAAGGGTTTCCTTCCATCAGAGGTTAAGAAATGATTTCTGTTTGTCCTAGTTTTAGATTTTCTTTCAGCATAAGGTTTTGATGTGCGGAAAAAATTTGTTATTTTCATAGACCAAAAGTGGATAAGAAAGTTGGTAATCTGCCAAGTCCCACCATGCCATCTGCCCTCCACCCATTTACTGCCACCACACCATCAAAGAAAACGCATAGCAGATCCAAGTCAGATGCAACAGGTATCGCATAGTTTACTACTGGAGGAAAGATATCGATAAACTCATATTATATTTGTTGAAAAAAATCTGACTGGCTTGGGTAGCATGTAATGTCTATAAATACCCACTTCATAGAGAATTTAAGGACGTACAACACACCTACCCCAAAAATTTCCTGTCGTTTAATTTTCGCTATTTTTGTATATCTTACACATGACCATATCTACTATGTGTATGTACATTTTGGTCAAAATCGTTCGAGCCGAATTTGGACAGGAAGTTCCTAAAGTTACCCCCCTTTGGCTGATCACGAGTACAAAAAAAATTCAACAAACTAACTATAAAATCCTTTATTTTAAAATTTTTAAGGTTAGCCTAGCTGTCAAAATTTGCTGAATCGTTCGTTTAACTATCAAACACACAAACAAAGTGAATTTGTAGAGGTACACTTCGAGAAAAACGATTTTGAAGAATTTAAACTGAAAAACTATGGTTCATTTTTGCATTGAAAAATGCGTGATTTTCAAATGAAATATTTTTTTATGAAAAAATCTGTCGTTTAATTTTGAAAAAAATTATTACTTCTTGTAACTGATGATCAAAATGTTCTTGATAATTTTTTGAAAATTTTTTAAACGACGCGTTTTGAATTTATAGCGGAAAATCTACCCTCCCCCTCTCTCCGTAAGTTACATGTCTCACAGCGTCTTTCAGACTTGGGACGAAAACAATGCTATGATTCTACAAATACAAATAAAAATTCCTAGCTGGAAAGTATATTTTACTTAAAAAATGTAATGTACATTATATTTATCACAAATATAAAACTTTACATCTGCATTTAAATGAAGATGAATAAGCAATTTCTGCAATTTTAAGACCTCCCCCCCCCCCCCCCCCCCTCCATTCTTCTCTGCAATACAGGACATTCGAGCTTGAAAAAACAAACATCGGTTACGTCTGCATGATAAATATATTGAACTTCTAAAGTAATGTCCTTCATTCGTGTATACAGATTAGATATTGACTACTAATATTTTTTGTTATTTTAAATACTATTTTTTTTTGTATTTATATTTTCTAAGGATTTTATGACCACGTGTCCGGTTTGGAGTTCATGCACACAGGTGCAGTTTCAAATCTTTATATGACCTACTTGCATTGAATATTATTTTTTAAGTGAATCAACGGTGGTGTATGTACAACTCTCTTGTGATGAAAATGGAATATATGTACATTTAGGTTTTAAATTATTTCTGTTTTCAAACGAGAGGGGTGCCCCCCCTCCCCCCCCCCCCCCCCCCCTGGATATTGTATCCTCCTGTTGTTTCAATGAATGGAAATGATGTATTCGTCCATGTTAACGTCAATCGTACCAAACTGTAAATTATTTATCAGTATTAAAATTATTCATGTTAATCATCTACAATGGTATCATCTACATTGGTATCAATCGTTTTGTTTTTATTCGAGGAAATGCGAACTGATACTGTTTACAGTAAAAGATTTTCTCAGTGGGATGCAACCGTTGTATTAATTTCAGTAAATAATTTTAAACTGTTGATACTTACTTTAATTTGTATAAACTTTGGCTTTCAGTTCTTGTGTTCCTTGCAACACACTGTAAAATCTTTAATGTATCTGTGTATTTGTGAGGGAAAAACTCATAATCCTTCGGAAAACAGGAGGAATAACTCAGCTAAGGAGAGGAAAGACATACACCTCCACATTTTTGGAGTTGTTTCTCTTTGATCGGTGACCTTCTGAAAACGGTTACTCTTTTTCATTTTTTTTTCAAAGAAAAGAAAAGAAAGAAAATGTTATTTTCGTAATATGATAATATTTAAACATACCGGTAATATTTATTCTCAATGATATGCGGCCGATTGTAACGGGGAAAAGCAATGTAGAGTACCATTAACATTTTTAGATAAAAAAAAATGCCTTAGTGTATATCATAAATACAATATTAAAGAATTAATTAACTGAATTTAAATTAAAGAAGTTTAGGGAACCTGTCCTTTTTTTCTTTTTTTATGAGGGGGGGGGGGGGGAGATTTATTGCAATTGCGCAAATGATCAAGGATAGGATTTGGTATTCCTAAAGAAACCACAATAAAAAACTTCTATTCTATTTTTTCTTTTTACATTAATTACATCGGGATTGTATCGCTCGTCATTTTGACGCTTCGTAATTAACGTCAAATTTAACATTATGTTAAACGTTTTATTGAAATCGCAAGAGTTATCTCCCCCAGTGTGTTGTACGTCTTTAAAGTAGACACCCATGTATTTTTGTGCAAATCAAAATGTCCAGACTACCAATACAAGCACTGCTTGAAGCAGACTGAAGGGCTATAACTGTTTCTTGTTCATTTTTATGAAAAAATAAGCTTAAAATTAAACTATTAAAAAAATGATGTGAAAATAGTGGTATTATGTTTATGTAATATTTCTGTAATAGATACCATCTAATGGTTGGTTTACTCCCTCAATTATATAAATGTATGATTTTAAAAAGATCAGTTGTATTTTATCCTAGCACAGCATTTTCAGTGTATAAAAAAAAAAAAAAAAAGAAGAAGAAATATTGGAAGCATTTTTTTGCCCCGCCATGAATATGGCCAGGGCATATAGTGTTTTTCTTATCTGTCGTCCATCCTGTCTTTCCAGTCTTTCCACCCTTCCATCTTCCCATCCTTCAGTCTGTCTGACACATTTTTCAAAGAAACTATTCAAGATATTATTTGCTGATACGTATTTGTTAGAGCTATTTAAATGCATCAAGTTCTTTTGACCTTCCCTTTGACCTCACTTTTCTTTAATTTGCCTTTTAGCTCAATTTCAAAGAAACTATTCATGATATTTTTATCAAACTTCATATGCTAATACATATTAGTGAGAGCTATTCAACTACATCAAAAACTTTGACCTTTACCTTCCTGTTGACCTTGACCTCACTTTTCGTAATTTTGTGTTTAGCTCAGTTTCAAAGACACTGTTCCAGACTTCGTATTCTGATGCATATAAGTAAGAGCTAATCAACTGCATTCAGATTTTTTTTTACCTTGACCTTCTATATGACCTTGACCTTACTATTCTTAAATTTGTGTTAGGCTGTTAGCTCAAATTCAAATAAACTTATCAAGCTTCATATGCTGATATAATATATACTGGTGAGAGATTTTCAACTACATTAAAATTTTCTGACCTTGACCTTCCCTATGAATTTTAAATAACTATTTTATTTTGAATTTAGTTCAGTTTCAAAGAAACTTCAATTTTTTATCTAAACACTTATACTGATACATTTGGTCACTCAGGTGACCTATTGCTATTGCTATCTGTTTTCGTCCGTCGTGCGTTAACTTTTGAACATTTTTAACTTCTTCTCTAGAACCGCTCAACCAATTTCAATTTCAATTCCAATTTCAACCAAATTTGGTTTATAGCATCTATAGGTGAAGGGGAACAAAAATTGTGAATTTCATGGTCCCTGCCCCCCAGGGGCCTGAGGGGTGGGGCTAAAACCACCAAAAATAATGCAATCTTTAAAAATCTTCTTCTTTACTCCTGGACATCAAGCAGTCAAACTTATGGCATCATTGTAATAAGCATTGAGCCCTCTACCAAAATTGTGAAATTCATGGCCCCAGGGTCAGGGGTTCTAGCCCCAGGGTGGGGCTATATAGATCATATAGTGAAAGTGCATTATTTCTTTGAAAATCTTCTTCTCTGCTCCTGGGTATTAAATAAAGTTACTAAGTACATAGTTATGATGAGCAAGAGTGCCTCTTCCAAAATTGTGAAATTCATGGCCCCAGGGTCAGGGGTTCTGGTGTTAGGGCGGGGCTCTATTGATTATATAGTGAAAATCCATTAATTCTTTGAAAATCTTCTTCTCTGCTCCTGGGTATTAAATAAAGGAACTAAGTACACAGTTATGATGAGCAAGAGTGCCTCTTCCAAAATTTTGAAATTCATGGCCCCAGGGTCAGGGGTTCTGGTGTTAGGGTGGGGCTCTATAGATTATATAGTGAAAATGCATTAATTCTTTGAAAATCTTCTTCTCTGCTCCTGGGTATTAAATAAAAGAACTAAGTACATAGTTATGATGAGCAAGAGTGCCTCTTCCAAAATTGTGAAATTCATGGCCCCAGTGTCAGGGGTTCTGGTGTTAGGGTGGGGCTCTATAGATTATATAGTTAAAATGCATTAATTCTTTGAAAATCTTCTTCTCTGCTCCTGGGTATTAAATAATGGAACTAAGTACATAGGTATGATGAGCAAAAGTGCCTTTTCAAAACTGTGAAATTCATGGCCCCAGGGTCAGGGGTTCTGGTGTTAGGGTGGGGCTCTATTGATTATATAGTGAAAATGCATTAATTCATTGAAGATCTTCTTCTCTGCTTCTGGATATTTAATAAAGTAACTAAGTACATAGTTATAATGAGCAAGAGTACCTTTTCCAAAATTGTGAAATTCATGGCCCCAGAGTCAGGGGTTCTGGTGTTAGGGCGGGGCTCTATCAACTATATAGTGAAAATGCATTATTTCTTTGAAAATCTTCTCCTCTGCTCCTGGGCATTAAGGTGATAAACTAAGTACATAGTTATGATGAGGTGGGCCTCTTCCAGAATTGTGAAAGCCATGGCCCCTGGGTCAGGGGTTCTGGTGTTAGGGTGGGGCTCTATTGATTATATAGTGAAAATGCTTTAATTCTTTGAAAATCTTCTTCTCTGCTCCTGGGTATTAAATAAAGTTACTAAGTACATAGTTATGATGAGAAAGAGTGCCTCTTCCAAAATTATGAAATTCATGGCCCCAGGGTCAGGGGTTCTGGTGTTAGAGCGGGGCTCTATTGATTATATAGTGAAAATGCATTGATTCTTTGAAAATCTTCTTCTCTGCTACTGGAGACTATTTAAACAATCTAAGTGCATGGTTATGATGCATAAGGATGCCTTTTCAAAAATTGTGAATTTCATGGCCCCAGGGTCAGGGGCTCTGGTGTTAGGGTGGGGCTCTATTTATTATATAGTGAAAATGCATTGATTCTTTGAAAATCTTATTCTCTGCTACTGGAGATTATTTAAACAAACTAAGTGCATGATTACATGATTATGATAGACAAGGATGCCTCTTCCAAAATTTTTAAATATATGGCCTCAGTTTTTGGGGTTCTTGAGGGGGGGGGGGGCTCTATTGATTATATAGTGAAAAAGCATTAATTCTATTAATTAATCATTAATTAATCCTGTCTGCTCCTTAGTGTTGAGCTGATAAATAAATTGCTTAGCTATGATGAAAATGGGAGCTTTGAACAGAATTTTTAAATCTTGTGGTCCTAGGGTCAGGGGTTCTGGCATAACGAGGGGGGGGGGGGGCTTTTGATAATATAGTGGAGAAGTGTTAATTCTTTGAAGTCCATAGTTATGATGATGAGGGTAACTCTTCCAAATTTGTAAATTTCTTGACCCTTGGTCTTGGGTTCTGATGTTAGGGTAAGGCTTTGTTGAATCTGTAGTGAAAATGCATTGTACCTGTGAAATTCTTCTCTGCTTCTGGGTATATCGGAAGCAAACTGAGGAAAAGTTTAAATGATATGAGTAAGTGTATTTCTACCAGATTTTTAAACATCTGGACCATTCGTCTAAGCATTCTGGTCCTGGGCAGGGCTCTATTAATTTGTATTCTACAGAGAGAATTTATTCCCCTTTTCCATTCACCTTTGATAATTAACCACTGTAAATAATGTATTTGAAAGGTTAATAGAATGAGATAGTTATGCAAGAATGTTTATCGTATAATTAAAAAAGTACTTTCTTAGTTTTAATAATCAGGTAGACCTGTAAGTAATAGATAAATAAAAATGAGACAAAAATAACTTATCTTATTAAAAGTTCTTCAAAGACCATAAGAGAGGTCAATGCTAGAGGTCTTAATATGGGTTTAAAAATAGTACAGAAGCACTAATAGTTTGTCAATAGTCTGCATGGTGATGGTGTTAAGTGGGGGACAGATTAGAACTTAATTCATGAGTTGATACTGAATACTAGACTAATTATTTTGTTGATCCTGATCTTCCTACTTCTCTTGCTTTAGGGCTTAACTTCGAAATTGTTGCATTATACTCAGGTGACCGTTAAGGCCCTTGGGCCTCTTGTTTATTTTGACCTATACTATGGCGTTGACTATGTTATTCTGCATTTTTTTCTTTGTTTCAAAGAATCTACTCAAGACATTTTTATCTTAACACATATACCAATACATACTGGTAAGAACAGTCAATTATAATTCAGCTTTGTCCAAAATGTATGATCTTGACCTTAATTTTCTTTTTTTATGCATTATGTTTCAAAGAAACTGTTCAAGATATTTTTATCTAAACACAAGCACTGATACATATTGGTAAGAACTTATCAATTGTGCCCAGATTTTTTTTTTAACATTGACCTTCTCTATAACCTTTGATTTTACTATTTCTTGTGTTTAAAACTCAATTTTTAAGAAACTAATCAAGATATTTTCATCAAACTTCATACACTAATACAAATTGGTGAAAGCTATTCAACTGTTTAATAATTTTTTGACCTTAACCTGCCCTGTGACCTTGACCTCACTATTCCTCATTTACCCTTATCTTAACAAAGAAGCAGGTACATTTCTTTTTATGTTGCATTTACTAATAAACCCTAGTTGGGACATTCATAGGGACATTCATGTCCTATGGACATATTGCTAGTTTTTCTTAAGGCACTTTAAAGTTTTAAATATCTATCCTTAATATCCTTTAAATATAGATTTAACAAGGACACTTATGTGCAAAAATCTTTGCCACCTAGGTATTTACTCAAAACTGACCCACAGTCAGACTACAGGGAACCTCCAAAAGTCTAGTACAGGAGATTTGTCCTCAGGACGAGCTTTTGATAGCGGCTGTATTTGTGTGCAGTCCTCAGAGGGCATTGTCAATGATCTCACAGGAAAGGAAACAGTCTGCCATTGTGGTGTAAGTCATAAACATGTTAAACTGAAAATCGGTATTATATACATATAATTTAATTTTGTTTGTATTCTAGCCTCTGATTGGTTAATATCCAAAAAGGAACACAAATCATTTCTGTATAACCTGGTTTGGTATGGGGACACCCCCCCCCTGACAACCAGCTGAAACATCTGTATCCATACAATCCTCTCATTTCCAGTCCTCGGGATTCATGGAAAATTCCATATTTAATAAATGTACCTTTGACTTCAAACAATAATTCGATCTTACCACACGTAAATAAACAACAAGGCTGCTAGGCCTGTGTATCAGTTTTTATCTCCCCTTGCTTCTCATCACTTCCGTTGCTTCCATTATTATGGTTGTATTATTGAGCGGCAAATTTGAACTATGAAAAAGCAACGAAAATTTACACCCATAGTTATTTAATGATTTTAAAATTAAATTATAAGGAATGACTCTAATTCTTAGCCAAATTATTCGAGTATAACCTGGTTTGGGTCAGTTTACACTGTTTTATAATCCGCTTCGCAGATTATAAAGCGTAAACTGACCCAAACCAGGTTATACTCGAGTAATTTGGCCAAGAATTAGAGTCATTCCTAAAGTATGTAAATCTCAAAGACATTTTTGTGGGGAAAATATGACTGTTTCTTAGTTAAAAATATCAGCGTTTGTACCCGAAGGCCAAACTTCAATGTTAGGGGGTGAGGGTGGGTGAGGGTCATGATAATGCTTTTAAGCATGCATAGGATCATGATAATGCTTTTAAGCATGCATGATACTGTAATTTAGATTTGGTCATTGTTGTGATATTTTTTATTTACAAGTATTAAGACATGTTAAACTTATCCTTGACTTTTTTCCCTTTAATTTATAGGCTCCTAGGTTAAAGCCTGAGTTAGAATTTGTCAATGCACTAATGAATATTGGAACTCGGCTGCAACACCTGCCCACTAAAGAACTCAGAAGTATGTCTGTTGTAAACAAGTAGAAGTTGCTGTTAATGCTTAGCATTCAATGATAATTTCAAAAAAGCTATATGTTAAGTGTGAATTTAACATGATAGAAATTTATGGATGCTGATGGCTTATTGTGTAACATATCTGTGTAGATTGATCTTCCCCATGAAAAAAGACCATCAGTAACCATTACGTCTGAATCCTTTAGAATAGCATTATTCTGATTGGTACAGTGATTGTTTATTGTCCCAGAGAAGTGATCAGCAACACTTCCAAGAAATTAGTTATATTTATGTATTATTTGCAGCGTCGAGATTAATAGCAGAACTAGCTATGTTGAATCTGAATTTGCCTGCCAGAGTCTGGCTCCCTTTTAACACAAGCAACCACCATCATATTGTGAGAATTCCTCATACACAAGCCATTGTCCTTAATTCTAAAGAAAAGGTAAGAAATCTAATCTGTTCTACAATTTCTTGCCTGTTTATCTGTTTGCTTAGTCATCACAAATAACATCCTTTATACCTGTGGTGGGAAAAAATTCAACTAAAAAGATGTATTTGTTTTATCCTTTGTTTATGTATTTTTTAGGCACCATATTTACTCTATGTGGAGGTTTTGGAGGTAGAGAATGTCTATTCTAGTCACATACCTGGTAAACGACTGGAGAACACGCTACGTTTTACCAAGTCCGAGGAGGACCTCACCACTTGTTACAGCAGAAATAATGGATCCCCCCACCCCGAGTTCAGCATTTATGGAGGGTCTGAGTTTGATGACGCTGAATGCTGGTCACAAGAAGATGATGAAATATTACAGGTCAGAGTTTAGAAAATTTTTGCAGGGACTCAAGTATCTTATAAACTGTACATAAGGAATTTAATTGATGAAAATATTGAAATTGATGTTTTCATCTCCTTTGTGCAAAATTGCTAATGAATAAATTAAAGGTATCTTTGTAAATGACTCGATCATTTAAGAAAATTTGCAAAATTAATGAAAATGAAAAATGACTGAATTCAGATGTAAAACAGTGATATGAAAAAAAATGTCCGAGTTACAATTTTAATTCTTATGCATTGATTGTTGCACACAGTTTGCTGTAAAGACGAGATCAGTAGATACGTTATCGCAGTTTTCTGTGGAGAGTACCACTAGTGCTGATAGCAAGGACCCGGTTTACATCGCAGCAGGAGACATTAGGAAAAGACTATCAGAGCATTTCACAGCCCCGAAAAGCAAATTTGAGGTAAAACTTTCATAGCAACCTGTAAAAACAAGGAAGAGAAAAAGTCACAAATACCTTTAAAAATGCCATTTAGGAGAAGATGAGAAAAAAAAGATCATATTAAAGACTTATTTTTATGGTAAAAATGAAAAACTGTCTTGATGAATTGCAGCGTGACCCAGAAGATCCCTCGGCAGCTGCCCTTAAAGAGCCTTGGGAGGAAAAAGTAAAGAGGATTCGGGAGTCCTCCCCATATGGACAATTACCGAACTGGAAGCTGTTATCCGTCATCATTAAATGTGGGGATGACCTCAGACAGGAACTACTGGTGTATCAAGTCCTTAAGGTTCTAAAGGTACAGACTTATTATAATGGTTATTGTTTCAGAAGAATGTGTGCCAGTATAAGTATTTTATATTCAGGACTTAATGTATTAAGGTCAAATTTAGAAGAACGATTCTTTTCTTGGTACTTACTATGAAATAAACTTTGAATTCACAATATAGCAAGACTTACCATATAAACTTTTAAAAAGAGAGGCTGTGAATTTATTTTGTTGTAAATTCTAAAAGAAGAAGCTTTCAGATCTAGAAAAAGTTTCACAGTAATATGTAGGTGTATGAAGAGGGAGATCATCTGTTATTATTGCAGAACATTTGGGATCTAGAACATGTGCCATTATGGATAGAGCCATACCACATCCTAGTCATATCCAACATGAGTGGAATGATCCAACCGGTGGATAACACAGTCTCCATCCACCAGATCAAGAAACACAGCAAGAAGTCACTCAAGGAGTACTTCATTCAGGAATTTGGAGCCGTGAACAGTGAAGGGTTTTTGACAGCCCAGAGGAATTTTGTACAGAGCTGTGCTGGTTATTGTCTGGTTTGTTACCTGATGCAGGTCAAAGACAGGTGAGAATAATTATCAGGGGTTACTTTTCAGGGGTTACATTTTAGATGTACAGCCAAAACTTATTATTATCTCAAATGCAATGGGACCTTGGAAAAACTTTGAGATAACCAAGGGTTCAAGATATTGAGGGTAAACTTCAGAGCGAAAAAGTGGTTCGGATTTTTAAATGACTTGAAGATATCCATGGCATTCAAGATAATGATGTTCAAGATACAGAAGTTCAACTGTATTTTCAACATTATATCATTACTTTTTCAAAGAGAATCTGAAGATTTGTTTTTGGAGTCTTTATTTACTCTAAAACTGTGGAATTAATGATACTGTCATAAAGAGCAGTCATTTTAATATACAAGAATTTCTATGTTGCGATAATTACTTTGTTCAAAAATGGCCAATAGGGCTATGGTGGGGATAGAATAGGAGACAAGTTTTAAATTGGGATATACATAAATGGGGGAATCTATAAAAAGCTTCTCCTAACGAACAACAATGTCATAATTTGTAAATCAATAATGTTGATAAATACTTGTTCAGATTGGAGTGGTTGGGCAAAAATGGGGTCAAAGTGTTACATGAGAATAGACAGAGAAAATCTCAGGAAATTAGTGATGTTGATAAGTAAGGAGGCTAAAATTGGAAATAAAATCTTTATACAGAAATATATTGACCTTTTCAATTTTCATAATTTGAGTTGAGCCTCAATCTTGTTAATATAGTGGAATTTCATCTATTTAGCATAAGAAGATTCCTTTATCTGTTTGTGCATACTTATTTGTCAGAAGAGAAGGATTATTGATGAGCATTATGGCCCCTGGGCCTCATTACAATATCTGAAGCAGATGGGAGATAATTAAGTGATAAACTTTTCTTTACAGGCACAATGGGAACATTCTCCTAGATAATGATGGACATATTATTCACATTGACTTTGGATTCATCTTGTCAACATCACCAGGCAAAAATCTAGGATTTGAAAACTCACCGTTTAAACTCACACATGAGTTTGCAGAGGTATCAACAACCATATAGAAATTCTCACATATATGTTGAATTAAATTATTGAAAAGAGGAAAATTTTGTGCAGTATTACATTTTTATGTTTGAAGAAGATTTTGACAAACTTTCTCCATCCTAGTTTAACTTTCATTCATTGATCAATAAAATTATTGCTCTTATGATTAAGAAACATGTACCTGGGGTATTTCTGTATGCTACAGACCAATGATAATGCACATGATGTATGAAAATGTATAAAACATTGCTATCAATTTGAATTTAAATTTTGAAACGGAATTTGATAACCAATGTTTGTTTTATTTCAGGTTATGGGAGGACTGGAGAGCGATATGTTTGAATATTTTAAGATTTTAATTTTACAAGGATTGGTAGCATCAAGGAAGCACATGGACAAAATCATCCCCATAGTGGAAATAATGCAAACAGGTAACAACAGGACAAGACAGAGTTTTAAATAATAAATAGTATCCAAACAATTTCTTTCCCGGGGATAAAATGCTGAGCATCTGCTATTTTTTTGAAGTACATTTGTATTAAGAGCCATTCTCTGTAATGACTTGAACTTTTATATAGGAGCTGTGGCACGCATAGTCTCAGAATTTCTCCAAACTCCCTATGTTAAAAGTCTTTGATACCTTAAACTCAAATCAGGCAAAAATTGGTTGCTACGTGTCATGGTTTCCATAGCAACACGTCCTAAAGTTTGAAAAATGGCATTTTTCAACATGTTCAGAGTCCCACAATTAACGTTTGCGGCAAAGCAAACAAGTGGTAATGACTGTTTCTGAAAATTGAAGGTCTGGTGTCTTAAATATTTGATAAACATGTTTGGTAAACCAACCATTATATACGTTACTATGGAAACAAAGTATTCAAAAGTAATAATTTTGTTCATTTAATTTTAAAAAGTCATACACATCAGAATAAAAACAATTATAGGTTGAAAAGCAAGCAAATAATAGACAAAAGATCCTTGAAACATATGCCAAGGACGAAATATGATATTTCTTATGGGTTGGCAATGGTTGCCATGGTTTTAATACCACGAAGGGATTTTGAATTTGTTCTCTTAGTGTTTCAATCTTATCCTATCTTTTTAAAAAACATATTTCTATATAACTGATGATCAATTTTTAAAGGCGTTGGTGTGACCCTAATTTTCACATTTCAAAAATTTCAAATTTAATTCTTTAAATAGAGCGTTGCTATGGAAATTAGCCGAAAAAATATGCTTAAAAATGTGAAAAATATTATGTTTCCTTGGATACGTACCCTTGTATGTAGATTCCCAAAACTTTTATGATTGATATTTATGAATAACTAACCTGACTTTCAATTTTGACTACCACCCAATCTCTAACTGGATGCAAAAAGCTGGCACATAGGGTTTAATATTGATACAAAATTAACAAAATCGAACATTTTCACTTCTTGGTAACCATAGCAACAGTGTTGTATTTTTCAACAAACTTTATCAATATATGATATTCAACTTTAGTTCTACCAGATAAGTACTATTCAAGGTTAGTCAAATTATATGTTTCTTGATTAAAAGGTAAGTAAATTCAGAAAGCAGCAAATATATATCACTTTAAACAATTACTACGTTGTTTCCATGGTTACACTGCAGAAAAACAATTAATCTGAATTTTTCTTATGTTGTTGGTGTTGCAAGGTCCTAAGGATGTATATGTGCCAGTCATGAATTTTATTGTTTTTCCTCAAGATAGTAGCATTAACCCAATCATAGCAACAGATTTTGCATGGTAACACTGTGTTACCATGGCAACCATGAAAGTTATTTTTAGAATAATATTGCCAATACCTAATTACTTAAGGTCAGGTATTTTTTATTGTTTTTCTGAAGTTGTTGATTGAGTTTGATCATGTAACATCTATCATTTGTGAATATTGAGCGTTTTTCAGCATTTTTCAGCATCTAAAATGTATTCCAAATGTACCCATGGTTACCACTTACTTAGATATAAATTTTAAATAGTTTCTTTATAGTATAAGTGGCAACAAGGTGTCATGTTTTTGTGAGAATGGTTTGTTTGTTTTTCTTAGTCTTTATTAAGGCTTAATAAAGATTCAAAATAGCTGAAAATCTCAATATTTTCAACTTTTCTGGCTGTTACCATGGCAACCAAGACACATAGCAACGATATTTTATTTGATATATGTTTCTGGTGTCAAGTTGTAATAGTGGGCAAAGTTTCATCAAAATCGGTGACCATGCGTGGCAAAGAAGTTTAAGTGGTTACAGAGAATCGCTATTAATAATCTACAACTTGATTCTTTATGTGAAACTCATATAAATTGTATTTGTACTCATTCCTGTGAATTGCACCAATTAACATTGCTGTTGACTTTCATTGTCTGTGACAACTTTTTATCTTATGATGATCATAAATTGTCAAAAAAGTTGCAGAGGACCATATATAAGGTTTATTAATATGAATCCCAGTATAAACATACACATAACAATTTCTACCTGTTGTTGTTGCTTTCAGAACAAAGTGCAATGTAGAAAAAAAATTAAACATTAAAAAATAGTTTATTGTTTACATGTATTGCAGGTTCAGGACTGCCATGTTTTGGGAATGGTGTAAATACAATACGCCAGTTGAAGGAACGATTTCATCTAAATCTGACCGAAGAACAGTTACAGCTGTATGTGGACCAACTCGTTGAGTCAAGTCTGAACTCGCTAACCACATCTCTATATGACAAATTCCAGTACTTCACTAACGGCATTCTGTGAGTTTAAAGAGACAGAAGATTGTAGGAAAACTGAAGAAATGTGAAGAATGTTGGTAGAGACTGAACAGAGAGAATTTGGACATTGAGAAATTTTCCAGGACTAGTCACATGCATGTATTATTGCACAGAAAGTTGCCAAATTTGTTCACAATAATCTCATACCTGTAATGTAATGTGCAATGGCTACCTCAAAGGAATGTATTTCTATAAGATAAACATAACGAGGTCTTTATAATAATTTTCAAGAAAGTTATAAAAAATATGGAAGTTTGAATGAGAATAAGCTCAGATAAAATTATATGAGAGTGTGCAAATATTAACTTTTAAAATAACTTTTTAGTCTGCAATGATTGTAATATCTTTCATGTAAATGTATGACAATGTTTATTGTTTTGCCCTAAGCTAACTTAATTGAGATTTTACTGTAAAGTATATGTAAAATATGTATATTATTTATGATGGTGCATATCTTAAGAGAGCTGAATTATTTTGTTTTGCACTTAAAATGAGATACTTGCATGTTTTATGCGTGGTATTTTAAAGCACTTGCTGTTTATCAAAGTGGTACAATGTATGCAGCCACCTACTTTGTGATAAAACATTTTTAGTTACATTTCATATGGTAGTCAGTGCTAAATGGAAAATTAATAATATTAGTACATTTTGGATTGACAAGAAAAAGAATGTTAAGACTTCATTTTTAAATTCCTGCCTTTACAATGTTTATATAAAAATCAAGTAACATTGATATAGATATTTAAACAGATAAATTAATATAGTTTTATATAGAATTTTAACCAGTTAATGTGCCATACTTTGTACATGTAACTAAATATTTATTAATAAAGTAAAATAATTTGATGTTATTAAGTTTGAATGTCGATCAGTAGTTTTTCCTGAGAGATAATCCCTCTTATGTTAACCAAGCACAGTTCATCAAGATAAATTAGAGATTATGTACAACATATTAAAGTTTTCGTCTTATGAAAATCAAACGTTCAGCATATAACACATACATGTAACATGTAAAAAGTCCTGCTGAATTAAGGTCTTCATAAATTTAGTGTCACATTTGAACTGGTTGTTTTTTAAATTTTTTTTTTTAGATTTGCAATGCATCCGTGAACAAATTATGTGGTGGGTTATCCAGTTTGATGATATTGAGCTTGTTCATCTTACCTAAGGCATAATTTTTGCATTTGTATTCAAGAAATACTAATCACATACAACTGTTCTTGCAATATTGAAATACATGTAAATTCACATTGTAATGTGAGAGCTAATTTCAATGCAATTTTTACCTGCTTTTGTAGGTTGTGTGTGTGAAACTTAACAAATTTTTGTCCATCTTGTATCTGTGTATGATGTTTTTGTAACGATGGGCATTTTTAAAAAAAGATTTATGATTTATAATTTTATGTACTGTACTTTGCAGAAATGATACAATGCTACATATGTTATTTGCTCTTTAATGATGAAACATTTTTCTTAGTGCATACAGTGTATATTGAGCCATTGGATTCACTTATTCCTGTAATAAAATACTGATAATCAATGCAATTTGTGTACAGAATATGTGTATCTACTTGTAATTATTCATTTTTATACTCCTTATTTTGAAGATCATACATAACACATACATATACTTGTCCATTTGTCTGCCCACAACTTTTAAACCCTGGCCAAAACTTTTGATTTACAGTACACAAGATAGGCATTTTATAATTGGTAAAGATGAAGGTCTCTTTGAGGTCAAGGCCATTCAAGGTTATTCTTACTCACCAAAGGTCAAATAAAAATGTACCACTAAGGGGTTATTGTGTTTTAAAAACATTTCTTGTTTTCCACCAAAATACTTATATATTATATATTTCCTAGTCAGTTCATTAAGTCATTATGGAATGAATCTGTATACAAGAAATGAGTATTTTTTTTTTAAAACTACTGTATTACATATAATATTTATAATGATCACTATGTGTTGTTGTGTTCCATTGCAGCTTGGTTACCCTGACAATCTGCTTCTTAACTGTTCAGGTCTTCACACAATTCTTGTACTTCCTACACCAGTCACATTTTTAATGTATGAAGAGCTTAATATAATATCTTTAAATTGTATTTGTCAGAGGTAAATATACATGTAAATTAAATTTTTTTTTATAAATATGGATAATTTGTTTTTAGGAAATCATTATATTTCTTTTTTTTTTTTCAAATTCCAAATTTTGCTTAAAGGATTTCTAGAAATTTAAAAACTGTATAGTTCTTGGATGTACAATGTACATGTATTCAGACCTTTTGATGACTGCATAAATACTTATATCTCATTTTTTATAAAACTACTGTACATTTGCAAAATCACTAACCCATTGCACTGAACAAAGTTGCTTCATTTTCTGAAATGTCACAAAGATTAATTAAAACATGAATAGAAGAAAGTTGGTGTTACTTATATATCTATACCGGAAAGACAAAGATCTACAAAGAAGCCAATAATTTATTAATAAACATAATTCAGAGAATTTTACAGGGGGTGTGTATAGAGGAAATTTAAAGTCATATATGGCATATTTTTGATAAGTTTTGACTAACTAAAATTAAAAATATCTTCCTATTTGTTTTATTTCTTTACATAAAGTTAGAACTTTCCTGTGAATTACACAATTTAAATCAATTGCGTTTCATAGATATTAGAAATTTAAAACAATAACTGATTTATTTACCAAGTCTTCATTCAAATATCAGATACAGTTTCAAGTCAATTTAACTATAGAAACGTGGGGGTAATTCAAGTTCAAAATCGGTGAAAATTTTCATTTGAATGTAAATAATAAATATCGTTCATCTACATTCAATCTCATATTTTTATATTTTAGCTCAGATACACCATATATAGCTTTAATGTTTTGTAATTGGATTGGAATTTATTTTACGAGTGCGACATGATTTTTTGATAAAATTTTACGAGTGTGAAGCACAAATGAAAATGTGAAAAAAACCCTGTCTCACAAATGAAATAAATTTAATATATGACTAAAAAACATTGAATTTTCTCTTTGATTTTCCCTTTGCCTCTGTCTTTTTGAAACGCAGTGTCATATGCTGTGATGCCAAAGTTGAGTGGTTCTGAGACATCATAGCTAAGATGTTGTGAGATTGAAATGAAAACATGGATTTTAACAATTAATTGTAGCAGTTTTGCAGTTCTGGTCTCTTGTCAGGATGGTTCATTTACTCTTGCTGTCTCATAACATTTTTTTAACTAGAACTGTCCAAAATGGACAAATACCCTCCGCTGGCTTTTTCAGAAAAGGTGCCAAACCACTAATACTAGTATTTAATGGATCTAAGAGGACCTCTTAGATCCATTAAATACTAGTATTAGTGTTCACAATTTGTTTAAACATTTAGAGTGAAAATTTACCGGTAATTTTTCATTATATTTTTTAATGAATGAAACTAAGATGCAGCCTAATAAAACATCAATACTAACATTGTTTTATTTTACTTTTGGAAAAAAAAATAAAAATTTTTCAAGTATTTCTCTCTTGGAAAGTATGGATGCATTATTTATCCATTTTTTCTACAGTGACTGTTGGTCAACATCATGACACACACTCAGCTTATAAGCAATCTTTTTGTGAAATGGAAACTCTGAACATCCCACCATTATTCTCCATACGAAAGATATGGATCAGACACGAATTATGAACTTTTTCTGTCAGTGACTTTGAACTTGCAAAATGACTTTGGGTCAAGGTCATGACATACCCTCAGGTCATAAGTAATCTTTGTATAAAAAGGGAACTCACCAAGTTTATCCATAAGAAAGATAAGGACTGGACACAAATTATGAACTTTTTCTTTCAGTTACCTTGAACTTGCCCAAATGACCTTGGGTCAAGGTCATGACACACCCTCAGGTCATGAACAATCTTCTTGTAAAGTAGTAGATTCTAATGTTCCTCCTTAAGAAAGATATGGACTGGACACATATGCACAGATGGACAGACAGATGGACAAGGTGATTCCTAAATACCCCCAAACTTTTTTTGCTGGGGGTATAATAACACTCTTCTTAAAGGGAAAGAAGATCTTGAGTTTTGATATTTTTCACAGTGTGAAAAAATAAAACTTTTTTTACGATAAATAAATTACAGTATTTCAATCTTGAAAATGTAATAAATAACCAAGTGCATTAAAAATAACTGCATGTTCATGATTTTTTCAAAATTAAGAATTAAGGAATAATCTGAAGACATAAATATGTCATTCAAATAATTGATCACAGATAGGTGATTAAGAGGGAGTTCTAACAGAGTAAGAACACCCACAGTTAACTTGTTGTTATTGCATAGGAATTCACAGATCCACCACTCTACTTCCTCCTGCAGAAGTACCAATCTTTCTCTTTGAACTGAACACCTAAAACAGGTAAATTAAGTGATTATAATTTTTTTTTTAATATTAGAAGAAAAACACATGCAGTCACACCTAGAAAACTTGGTTTTTCATTTATTCACTCTGGTGTTTTCATTTACTTTCATTATAATACTGGTGAATCGGCTCCAGAATCTTCAGAGATACTTATAATGCTTCTTTACATCTTCAAATATATATATTCAAATATGCAAAATTAAAAAAAAAAAAAAAGCAATGAGGCCCATAGGCCACAATGCACACCTGAGCAACGATGGCCTGCCCCGCTACATGTATTCATCCTCATCAAATTTGTAAAAGATTTTTGTCCTCTTTATTAACATGAAAAAAAAATTTAACCCCCTTTTTTACATCCAAGATATGTAACCTTGACCAAAACGCAGAATGTGACAGACCTCATCATCACAAGCAGTACTTAATGCAGCAAGTAGAGCTTTCAGATATTACTTACAGAGGTTCAACTAAGCCCTGTGATCCTGAACCTAGTCTATTTAATGGCTTTGATTTATGATCAAGACATAGGCTTATCTTTTGGTGAACTCAACCCTCATGTAAAGTACAGAATTATATTTTATTGTCATTTAGTTACAAATGTTACAGGATAGGAAAAAAATACAGATAACGAACATTTCCTTATTCATTATAGCAAATTTACAAAGGAAAGAGAGGAACTATTTCACTTAATTTCATCATTTTACAAATTTGCATGATAAATAAAAATTATTCTGGATATCAAATTGTGAAGAATTTAGATATATTAAACTCTCTTGGTAGATTCTTGCTAAAAGCATTGTTGCAAGTTAAATTTCAGGCATTTGAACTGTATCATGGTGAATTATATAGAAGTATGTACTTACATATGTGTGTGATATACATGTATATGTAATGTATATATAAACAAGTAATTTTGCTCAGAACTTGTAAATGTATACCAGGTAATATCTACAATCTGGTTTATTTCCCCTTTTCATGTCTTTTTTTCCTTTCAATCATGCAACTTTTTCTCTCTTGTGACAGTGTGTAAGTATATTGTATTACATGTATATGTCTATGAGTATTTACAATGTACTTTCCTTTTGCACCTTGCCTTAGCACAGTATAAATTTACACCCTCTGCTAGTAAAAATTCTAAAAAAAATTGCAAAAAATGTGTTGAATAGTTTCAGAATAATAATCGAATACAAACAAATGGATAGGCGGATGTCTAACCATGTGCATTAAAAATCACTGATTATTTCAGTATACATGTACTTTACCCAAAATGTTTTAAGGGGGTACAAAAAGAATTCATGAGGTTTTCAATATACATGTATGTTGACATGGAATTTATAAAGAATTAGAAACTTACTTCCTGCAAAAAACTAATCCATGCTTGATAGTAGCCCTGGGACATCCAGGTTTCATTATGTGTTCCATCAGGAAATCTGATTATTCTTTTAAGAGAACTACCAGAAACCTGAAATTATATGACAGAGTCATAGAACGATACATTAAATGTTTAACTTTGTTACTAAGGTCACACTGAACTGTAATTTTTATACAGAGATCTCTCTACAACTTTTTCAATTTAAATCAAAAACTTTCCTCTGAGGACATTTGCTTGCATTTCTCTGCTTCTTAAACATCATGCTCGCCCTTGAAAATGCATCTCCACAAACTAAATTTTTTGCAATCAAGAATTTAGATATAAGCTTTACCCTATGACCTGACAGACATAATTATAGATACTTACACTGTGTAGTTTTGACATCATACGTGGAGGGATAAGTTTGTCCCCTTGTCCTGACAAAAATAACGTTGGAATGGTAATCTTCTGAATTCGATTTACTGTAGGATACTGCAGAAAAAAAAGCTACATGTATATTAAACAAGGTGTATGCTTATATTTTTATGTTACTTAAATGTATGTGATACAACCATAATCAATCTGAATTACAGAAACTTTATCTAATTTAGTTATAATTATAAAGCTACTGCTGTACAACACTCAATAGCATTAGCATAAGAAGTTGGAATTTTTTTTTTAAACTAAAAAATAAAAAGCATTGCTACACCTTATCTTCCCAGGATAGACACCCTATTTGCTATTTATAAGTGAAAAAAATATAAAAAGAAAAATGGTTACTGTTGTACAAACAGAATCCTAACAAAACAAATATACCTGAGAAATAAAATTTTGGGGAGTGACTGTGTTGCATAATTACATTAAAATAAAAGCTCTCTCGTCATTATATATTATAGAGCATAGAATGACTTAGGAAAAAGTCTGCTCCGAAAAGTTTTACCTGGGACACCAATACTGACTGCGAGGTCGATGCTTATGGTAATTAAAGCATAAGCTCCCAGATTTGACAAGTTGATTCTAGTGCTGTAGATCACATATTACCTAGACTTACCTTATTTTTAAATACAATGGCAGGTATATATTCCAGAATGTATAAATCTGCAAAAATTGATCTAGCAATGTCTGGAAGTGATGTGAAGGAATTTTCTAACACTAGTGCTACTATATGTGGAGAATATTTTTTGTTGCTGGCTAACCATGCAGCCACAGCGCCACCTAGTGAGCGGCCAAACACTATTATTTTGTCTTTATTTATATCTGGACGGCTGAGTAAAAAATCCATTGATGCTTCAGAGTCTAAATACAGTCCTACAATACAATAAAGTGAGAATTTTGCATAAAACATAGATTTTTGCAGGTAATGACAATTTCTCTAAATACACAGTAAAAGTCATTTAAATGTATGTATGTGTTGTATTCAGCGAAATAATTTCGTGAATGCTTTTAACATTTTCATAAGCATATGATCATTTCATAAAGTACTCAACCTAAATCATATAGTACAAACAATGACCTACAAAATTATTGCTTTCTTTCTTTCAGTTGCTTTTTTTTTTGTAAATTTAAAAATTAAATTTAGGGCATTTAATTGGATGAATATTGAAATAACACAATGTGGCAAAAAGCATAATTTAACAATTAATTTGTTTTTAATGGCTATTTCTCTATAAGCCTCCTCTCATCTGTCTGACCTTCACCTTACCTGACTCTGAAGGTGATCCCTCACTCCTCCCATACCCCCTGTACTCAACCAACAAGACATTCACCCCAACATATCTATGTAAATCACCAACATTAGGGTACCTAGAACACAACATATCTATGTACCAGTAAATCACCAACATAAGGGTACCTAGAACACAAGTTGATTGTGATACTGTATTATAAAGTCGCTGTCAATAATAACTTGAAGTAACTCCCTTTTCTAATGATATGAAAGATAGACAAAAATTATTTTTCTTGAGAATGAATGCAAAATATAGTTTCATCAAATATAATTGAATATTGATCTAAACATTGTGATATCTGCACCATAAGTGAGACTGAGTTGAGTAATAAGTTTCTTTTGACGAGAGAAAATCTTAATGCATGCATGACAATATCTTAAAGGGAATGGAAATATGAATTTCTGGTGAATAATCTTATTTAGTGCTAACCTGTGTCCAATATTCCCGGCATTTCCATGGAAATAAATCACAGTTGGGGCATTAGGATTGGAATGTTTAATAAGCACCACATTAATTTTGACACCATCTTTGGTGGTGATGAAATGGTTTTCTCCGCGCAGGTTGAAGCGCTGTGGACTGTCGACAAACAATCTGGACTGAGGAGGCTGCTCAGGGTAGTACAATAGTAAGTCCTGGGCATTGTAGAATATACCTAAACAACAAATATTGTCTGTACAATAGTAAGTCCTGGGCATTGTAGAATATACCTAAACAACAAATATTGTCTGTACAATAGTAAGTCCTGGGCATTGTAGAATATACCTATAAACAACAAATATTGTCTGTACAATAGTAAGTCCTGGGCATTGTAGAATATACCTAAACAACAAATATTGTCAGTACAATAGTAAGTCCTAGGCATTGTAGAATATACCTATAAACAACAAATATTGTCTGTACAATAGTAAGTCCTGGGCATTGTAGAATATACCTATAAACAACAAATATTGTCTGTACAATAGTAAGTCCTAGGCATTGTAGAATATACCTAAACAATAAATTTTGTCAGTACAATAGTAAGTCCTGGGCATTGTAGAATATACCTAAACAACAAATATTGTCTGTACAATAGTAAGTCCTGGGCATTGTAGAATATACCTAAACAACAAATATTGTCAGTACAATAGTAAGTCCTGGGCATTGTAGAATATACCTAAACAACAAATATTGTCAGTACAATAGCAAGTCCTGGGCATTGTAGAATATACCTAAACAACAAATATTGTCTGTACAATAGTAAGTCCTGGGCATTGTAGAATATACCTAAACAACAAATATTGTCTGTACAATAGTAAGTCCTAGGCATTGTAGAATATACCTATAAACAACAAATATTGTCTGTACAATAGTAAGTCCTAGGCATTGTAGAATATACCTAAACAACAAATATTGTCTGTAAAATAGTAAGTCCTGGGCATTGTAGAATATACCTAAACAACAAATATTGTCTGTACATAGTAAGTCCTGGGCATTGTAGAATATACCTAAACAACAAATATTATATATGTTTGAAAAGTTATATGAGTGAACAAAGGGATGTTGAACCTTTTCTATATCATCATCACTTTTACTTTATCAGGAAATATTTTACTGAAGTTTGTAATTACTAGTATTTATTAGTAACAAATACATTATACATTACATGCATTGAAAATTGTAAATTCATTGTTAATTTATTTACATGTATTTTAGTACTAATATTTAGAACTGCTTCTTGTCTGCTAATTTAAGCTATATGATTACATGCATGCCAATATAATTTATGGACATTAACATAATCATTCAGTATGCATCTTTCTGGACAAAAGGTTTTTTTTAGCAATGCTGAAAAACCATTCAGCTGATGCTAATGGAATAGCTAATACTAGTAATAGATATTCTGCCATAGCAGATAGTGTTGGATAGATTAGATGCAACTCTTCTTCCAGTACTTTAATGCATTAATATTCTGAGAGGCAGCCTCTACCAGAGAGAAGGACTATATTCCATTACCCCCACAGTCAGTAACTGAAATGTGTCTTTTCTTGGTTGGCACCATAAAGCTAGAATCCATGACTATCCACCTTCCAGAAAGCATGACTACACAGTTTTGAATTGATTGGTCTAAGAGGGAATTACCTGGCTCTCTTTAGAATCTTTGCTGCTTCCATTTGGAGCTTGTCTATTAAATCACAAAGTTTGTCTGATTACACCACTTGAACTTTAACTTGGGTCTAAAGCAGCACAGATTTGTAAATCAGTCCTCATTTTAAAGTTTATAGATCTCCATTCTTCTCTGCAAAGATAATTATAAAGCTTGAGTTATCTTGTTGTGAGCTGTAGTCAGTTGCCTATTGTGTGTTCCTGTCCCAAAATTGTTAGAACAGCTAAACTAGCTGAAATATTGTTGTCTGTCTGAATCATCATGGTTCCCTCTTCAAATGGTTTAAAAATTACATTTTGGGTTCATATGCAGTGAGATCACAATGTCCAGCTTTTTTAACACCTGGACAGAAAATATCATGTGAAGTTGTGAATTCCACTAAGTTATTTTGGAACATGTCTTCTTTCCAAAATATCAGAAAGCATTAAAGCTTTCTTTTCATATTTTGTAAGTGTGAAATTTTTTTATCCAAAACATTTTTGAAATTGGGGAAGTTCTTTAAGTCCATCTTTGACAACCAGTTGCAATCTGTGTGAAAATTAAGGAGTTCCGTGATATGACACATTCAATCCAAATTCATTTTCACTGCAATCGTTGTCTGTGTAGTCATTATCTTCATCCAAATTGTATTCTTTGCTGTCAATTGGATCTTTCACAATCTTGTCCTCCACCTCTTTGAGGCCTGGTAGGAAAAAGTCAAATGCTTTCACCGTATTTGAAGCAATGTATGTTAATGCACAATATCCATTTTCAATGTCTAAGGATGCAAGTTGTACTTAGAATTCCTATCAATTATGTCTGGTGTGTGGAATTCTTTGATCCTTTTGCATGCTATCATCATAGTCTTTAATGCACAGTTCATGAAATGCCAGTAACCCAGAGAAACCCAGGCATTTGGCTATTTGACTGCAGATAAATGGTCACTTTTACTTTTAGCACTCTGAAATACTTGATATTGTGAATTCCTAATTTAACAGAACTCTTTTTTATAGAAGAGTAAAGAAAAGTCTGTTAGCTTGGGACAATGTGCTGTTGAATACATTTGCGATATCGATCATTGTAGATTTTTTAAAGACAGATAAGAAATAAGTCCTGGTGAAATATCTTGCAGTACATTTGCTGAATCACACTAATAAAACTTGAGAGGAGCTAGTCCTCATGTGTTACATTTTTGTTGATATTTTTCACTAAGCTGACTCTTCTAATTAATTTCAACCATTTCTTTCTGATATAAATTCTTACTTTTGGAAACTGATAAAATACTCTTATTAATATGGTGACCTACTATCTTGAGTGCAACCCTTGGGAATACATTGTACTTTTGGCATACTTATTGCTAATAGTTCAAATCATTTGATTGTCACTTGCTTAAACAAAGCTATGCCCCAGAAATCTTGCGAGATTTAGAACTTCCTTGACTTTGCTGCAAAAGAGTGATAATAAGTTAAATAACCGCTAGGTAATTGCGACAGGGTTCGACATTAACGTTAGTCCGTTAGTCTCAGACTAATACATTTTCATTCGGACTAATAAAATCTGTGGCTAATTAGTCCTAACGGACTAATAAAATTTTCTGGAAAAAAAATCATTGAATTACCGATGTTCGATTCTCGACAACTTTCACTGGAAAACCCTGCATGTATTTTTAGCTTTCTAGCTTCTTGGTGGGAAGTTAGGTAATTACGAGTCAATTCGGTGCTTAATTTTAGGACTGATTGGTATGAAATTAAACATTTAAGTGATCATGATTAAGTATGACACATAGGCCTAATAAAGAAGGATGTCAGACGTTTGGATGTCATGTATAACGTTAGAGAAAAATGAACGAGATCAGGAATACGATCGTAGTTCCTGATCGCAAGATTTCAACAAATCTTGGAATAAAACCTTTCACATAAATGGGGTTTTTTCCCCAAAAAAAGTATAAAAAGTACATTGCAATGTTAAATTTTAAATTAACTGTTACAAAACATTGATTTTTTTTTTGACGGACTCATAAAATCGCATGCGGACTAGTAAAAGTAAAGAAGTACTAGTCCGGCCGGACTAAAGCCTAAAAATGTCAGTGTCGAACCCTGTTGCGATACTAAGTATATTTGTTTTATATTGGACTGCATCATGTGAACATGAACTAAACATCAGCACATTTCACAAATGAAATTTTCTGAGTTATGTTTTTTTTTTCCCAGTCAGGCAAGTGGTATGTATCATCAAAGTATAATGCTAATGATCAGGGTATTATCTAGGAGTTTCACATGGGTACAGACCATGACAAACATTCTATTACATGTACATGTAGTTTATTATTTATCTATCTATTTTTAAAATATATATTAACCGATATGAGGACATTACTAAGAAAATACAGATGGAGATGGATTGGCCATGTCCTAAGAAAGCCAACAAACGATATCACAAGAGTGGCACTAAGATGGACCCCAGAAGGGAAAAGGAGAAAAGGCCAACCAAAAACAACATGAAGGGGAACCGTTGAAAAAGAACTGAAGGAAATGAATCTTACCTGGGGAGAGGCGGAGAGGACAGCTAAGAACAGAGAAGAATGGAAATCCCTAGTCTTTTCCCTATGTGCCTCTGGGTGCAACAAGGACTAGGTAGGTAGGTAGGTATCTATTTAATATGTTGACGGTGTGACCGTTAGGGTGTTAGATTCGAATCTTCATACCACACAAGATATTTTTAACATCTAGACTATGAAGTCACATGATGTAGGATGTTAGTTGCATTACCATAACAAAGTCTAAAAAGTGCAAATTTTAACAAAGAACGCTAAAGACATTTGGAATGTCTAGACGGTGAAGTCACATGATGTAGGAAGTAAGTACTAGCAGCATTACCTTAACAAAGTGCAAAAAGAAAAGTGCAAAGTGTTACAAAGAACGTTAAATCTACATTTTATCTGCAAATATATCTATTAAATCAAAGTGAGATTATTATTTGGTGAACTTTTATTGTTACCATGAGAACATAGTTATGCAGCAGCAAGATGCATATGTGTTGCATTGTGGGAACAAAATTCATTTGGATCAATGTGCAAAGTCTGAATTTTCTCCTCGCTGCGCTCACTATAAAGTTGTGTAGCAGTCAGACAGGTTTGATCTCCAGTGGCCAGATAGCTCAGTTGGTAGAGCACCTGTCTAGAGAAAATTTAGGGTCCAGGATTCAATTTCCAGTATGGTCCATCACATTTTCTCCTCTCCTAATACACTGCTGCCGTGCCATGCTCTGGACGTGACAGGTGAAAGACCCTCCAGGGAAGAGCCTGGGTTGGTGTCTTCTGGGGCGAAGATCTTTAACATTCTTAAGAAGGGAGTAGTGTGGCAGTCAGACTGGTTTGATCTCCAGTGGCCAGATAGCTCAGTTGGTAGAGCACCTGACTGGAGATTCATGGGGCCGGGGTATGAATTCCGTTCTAGTCCATCACATTTTTCTCCTCTCCCATTACATTTGGTGCCATGCCATGCCTTGGAAATGACAGGTGAAAGACCTGCCAGGGAAGAGCCTGGGTTGATGTCTTTGAGGGGTGAAGACCTTTAAGGAGAGAGGAATGTGGCAGTCAGATGGGTTCGATTCCTGGAGGCCAGATAGCTCAGTTTGTAGAGCACCTGACAGGAGATTCAGGGGGCCTGTGTTCAAATACTGGTATGGACGGTTGCATTTTTCTCCTCTCCTATTACATTTGGTGCTGTGCCATGCCTTGGAAGTGACAGGTGAAAGACCTTGCCAGGGAAGAGCCTGGGTTAGTGTCGTCTTGGGGGGGGGGGGGGAAGCAAAGATCTTTAAGGAGAGAGGAATGTGGTGGACAGACAGGTACGATTGCCGGTGGTCAGATAGCTCAGTTGGTAGAGCACCTGACTTAAGAAAATTCAGGGGCCAGGGTTCGAATCCCGGTCTGGTCCGTCGCATTTTTCTCCTCTCCTAGCTCCTTGTTACAGTTGAAATATGCAAAACTTCAATACATTGTAAAAATAAATAAAATAGGTAATGTTATAATTTTCTACTTACTAAATCCTCCGACTAGAAGAAGTGCAAAGGTCAATAATCCTCCGTAGTACCAGAAAACCAACACCAAAATTAATCCTGCAGATGCACACAGTTTCCAGAACTTTGACAACACCGAGAAAACAAGACGTGTAACAAATTCAAGGATCCTAAGCTTTGAGCCCATTTTCTGCTCTTTTGGAATCAGACTCTCTTCATCATCTTGGTTTGTTGTCATAGTAAATTACTTCCCAACTCAAGATTATTTTACATGCCATCCAACAAACAAACCGGAAGTTGACAACGACGAAACATTCATTCTTTAACTTGTACCATATCTTAGTCGTAAATTACTTTCATTAAGGAGATTGGCTATATCTCTCCATATTCACACAAATATTAAAAAGTATATCGGGGGTATATTTGTTTGTAAAAACGGTCATTCTTTATAATATAAATCCTTTTTTTTTGGGGGGGGGGGGGATTCTGGATCATTCTTACATGTTCCGGAATAGTAGTGTGATTTTTTTCAGCATTTACTCTACGAAAGATGGCGACCACCAAATCAAAGAATGTGCGAGAAAATGAACAAAAGCTACTGGATGCTATTGTGAATGGTGATGCCTTTTATTTTGATAATTTTTGTACTTTTCTATCATATTTATATTGTTCACGTTTACCAGCTTACGTATTTTAAAGTTGCTCCATCAGTAGGCGGTATATAATTATTTCAATAATTTATTGAATAAATAATATGTTGACCACAGGGACTTGAGACAATCTTAGCAAAATCGGGTATAATAGGGGAGAAGGGACCTAACGAGCCGCCATTAATTCCTCGGTGCCTCGCTTCAAATTCTAAAAACTTCGATTTCTATTCATAAAACCCATGAAAAAGTTTTGCAAGTTGAAAGGCAGAATGTTGTCCTTTGTGACGGGTGCTAGTCACTGCGCCCCAAAACCAGAACGCCCCAAGCACGAGCGCCCCAAAGTTTTTCACCGGCGCCCAAGTAGAAATATGAGCGCCCCAAATCTAAATCACGAGCGCCCCGATCTTATTTCACGAGAGCCCCAAAAGCACTTCGAGCGCCCCAATGCTTATTAACCAGTAAAGAAATAAATTATTGCTTTTATTGCATGTTTTTATTACATTTCGATGTTTAAAAAAAATATTGATATGAACAATTCACGAGCGCCCCAAATTATATATATCATGAAGGTACCAAATCTTACGTAAAAACGAACGCCCCAAATATTTTAAACTAGCAGTATATGAAGTTATTATAAAACGTACTAAAATTCTTTCCGTGTTCATACGTACATGTACATATACCCGGACCATAATTTGTTATTTTGTTTTTTTTTAAATTTTAATTTAAAAGTGCTTATAAGCAGGTTCATCACAAAGAGCTACTATGCTGTACGAATAGAATAGAATAGACTTGAACACTTATGCGTATTTCTGCAGTAATTAGGATTTATAACCCGCAGAAAAATGTTAAGAATGTCATTTATTTAAATGTTTTAGAAAGATGTGGTCTTATAGATCTTATAGCTTATCTCCTGTAAATCGGTGTACCAATTGTTTAAAAAAAAATCATGCACGTGTATTCAACCCATCCATCCATATAAAAAAAGTCATTTATTAAGTATATTTGTTAAATTTTTACTAATTTTAGTGATGTGTTTCAAAATCTCGGTATATCCATGATTCCATCTCGGAGTTTGTATAGTGCACGTGCCTCGTGTTTTCATTGATTGTCGTGTACCTGATTATGTAATACCACATAATATCACACACCTTTCACTAGATCGATAACTTAACCCCAGGAGGATTAGTAGTCTGTGTATACACAGTAAACATAATTTCAGACATCCCCATAATTTCAGACCAATTTTTGCAAATATACACCGTAATTCTGGTCTTTCGGCGACATTTTTTAATACTTATACAAACTTTCCATGTGAATTATATCAAGCATGCTTACACAGATGGATCATAAACTGAACAGTCTGTCGACAATTTTTCTCATCACAATGTGGTAAAAAAAAATTATGAGATTTTAATTGGGGGTTTCGTTTATTGGGATAACGGCGGTGCTCAGACTTTGATACTATCATTTTTGATTACACAAAAATAATTAAAAGTTGATAATTTAAAAGAATATATTACACCAGTGTTCTTTTGAAGAAGGAAATGCAAACAGAATATTTCGTACAATTGTTTGCAACTAAATATAAGTCAATTTCAACATAGATTCAAATGAAATGTTCAAAAAAATTAAAATAAAATATAACTGTTGAAGTGCTACAAAAAAAATTATCACATAACGAGCACCTGTGTATCTGTGCCGTTAGATCGGACAATATTATTTGGGGCGCTCGGAATACTAATTGGGGCGCTCATGAAATAAGTTTGGGGCGCTCATGATTTAAATTTGGGGCGCCCATATTTGTACTTGGGCGCCGGTAAAAATCTTTGGGGCGCTCATGCATGGGGCGTTCTGGTTTTGGGGCGAAACGACAGTAACCCCTTTATTCAGGTCCGGCACAATCTCTTGATTTAGCTATATAGCTTGATTTAGCTATATAGCTTTATTAAGCTATTCAGGATAGCTTGATTTAGCTATTTTATCACACTTTTTTCTTAAATGTGTTATTTTCTCAGCATGCACAAAAAGTCGCACCTTGATGCAGTGATTATATTTAACCTTGAACTCTTCTGAAAATAATGAATGTAAAAATCACTCATCAAATTGCGTCTCCTTAAGAGACTTTGTACTCAAAGCTCTAAACGTTTTTGGGCTATATAAAGCAATTGATACAGTTACTTCTGCAATGAAATTATAAAGGATGCCAATTATGGTCAACAAGATAATTGACTGGTAATAATTCAGTACAATGAGAAGCTATCATACTTATCCACGCCTCAACGCACACAAGGTAGTGTACAGTTACTCAAACAATGGAAATGCATCTTTTGCTTAAAAGTATTCAAATGCTGCAATGTTAGAACTATCTTTGATTTTGGTTGTTGTTTTGATAGCCCATAGTACATATATGAATAATCAAATACTTGCAACTTTTTGTCTATTTCTTACAAAAAACATTTTTCTGAAAAACTGCATATAAATAGCTTTATCAAGCTATTGGTGAACTTTTTTCTCTTTGCCCAGACGTTGCTTTAAGAGATCGCAGTACGAGCAGCACTTCACACTGCTCACTATAATATGTTACGGTTTTACCATTTGAGCGGTGTGACCATCGGAGCAGTTGTACCATCTGCAAGAGGAATGACGGGGCTCTAATATGCAACTAATGGCATCTAAAAAATTTTTATTTGCGCCTTTAATTTCTCAATAAGTCGCCAAATTGGTGACCATTTCAAATTGACTTGGCAATCGTTGAATTCCGGAACTATCAACATTTACAACAGTTTTTCGAAAGAGAAGGAAAGAAGTTTAAAAGTTAGCAATGGACATGTCTTGTGTTCTGTTTGTCAGCTTGTTTGCTTTTTTAGTCACGCACGTGCAAATGAAATTTCTCATCGGATCAGTGCACACAGAGCTCAGGTAGACCAGATAAGACAATAACAGTCCCAGGTAATTTTTGGCTTCAGAAAATCAACAATTGTGAAATGCAGTAAATTGGGTGGATGAGGCGGTCAATTATTTGTCAATTAAATTCTCATTCATTATAGGTATCGTCTAGACATTAATGTTAGGTCATAATTGTACGATCAAGCATAAAATGTAAATCGTGTAAACAATCTTTGATGTTATCATGGTTATTAGCTCACCTGAGCCAAAGGCTCAAGTGAGCTTTTCTGATCAAAATTTGTCCATTGTCTGTTGTCGATGTCGTTGGCGTTGGTGTCGTTGTCATTGTTGGAAATTTTTTACATTTTCATCTTCTTCTCCAGAACTACTGGTCCAATTTCAACCAAACTTGGCACAGAGTATTCTTGGGTGAAGAGGGTTCAAGTTTGTTCAAATGAAGGAGATAATTGCGAATTCATGAAAAATTTATGGCATCTTTCAAAAATCTTCTTTTCAAGAACCACTGTGTTAGAAAATATGAAACATATGTGGAAGCATCCTCAGGTAGCATAGACTCAAGTTTGTTCAAATCATGACCCCCAGGGGTAGGGTGGGGCCACATTGGGGATCAAAGTTTTACAAAGGAATACATAGGGAAAATCTTTAAAAATCTTCTCAAGAACAGCAAAGCCTTGATTGATCATATTTATATGGAAGCATCCTTAGATAGTGTAGATTTAAGTTTGTTAAAATAATGACCCCCAGGGGTAGGGTGGGGCCACAGTGGGCAATCAATGTTTTACATAGGAATACATAGGGAAAATCTTTAAAAATCTTCTTCTCAAGAGCAGCAAAGTCTTGATTGGTCATATTTATATGGAAGCATTCTTAGGTGGTGTAGATTCAAATTTGTTCAAATCATGACCTCCGGGATTAGGGTGGGGCCACAGTGCGAGATCAAAGTTTTACATAGGAATACTTAGGGAAAATCTTTAAAAACCTTCTCAAGAACAACAAAGCCATGATTGGTCATAATGATACGGAAGCATCCTCAGGTAGTGTTGATTCAAGTTTGTTCAAATCATGACCCCTGGGGGTAGGGTGGGGTCACAGTGGGTGATCAAAGTTTTACATAGGAGTATATAAGAAAAATTTCAAAAAATCTTCTCAAGAACAACAAAGCTATGATTGGTCATATTTGTATGGAAGCATTCTCAGGTGGTGTAGATTCAAGTTTGATCAAAACATGACCCCGTTGGTAGGGTGGGGCCACAATGGAAGATCAAAGTTTTACATAGGAATATATAGGAGAAATCTTAAAAAATCTTCTTCTCTAGAACAGCACAGCCATGATTGGTCATATTTATATGGAAGCATCCTCAGATAGTGTAGATTCAAGTTTGATCAAATCATGACCCTCAGATGTAGGTAAGGGCCACAATGAAAGTTTAAACTTGTAGGAAAAAAGTCACAGTTAGTCAAAAAAATATGTAAGCATCCTTAGTTAGTGTAGATTCAATTTTGTTCAAATCATACCCCCCCCCCCCTTTAGGGGTAGGTCAGGACCAATTATGCATTTAAGCATTGCAATACTAAACTGATTTTTGCTTTTTTCCTAGCCACAGTGCTCAGGTGAGCGATGTGGCCCCTGGGTCTCTTGTTAATATATAGTTTTGAAGAATATTTATGAGAACCAAGTTTCTTAAAAAGAATGATCAATTATATTAAAACTTTTGGAATAAAAGATTTTACTATTGTTGCAAAGCAGGACCAAAATGTATGATCCTCTCTCGTTCTGGCCAGTAGGAGAGAGCTATATACGGACTCTGGACAGTGGCTTGAGATGATGGAGTTTTACATGCATGCTTAAGTTATAACCTTTTGACATTTACATGTAGCTGGCTTATATTTCTTGTTGATCTTATTCTTTACCATTGTAAAAGACCCCCCCCCCCTTTTATATTGACTAATATCAGCTTTTAAAGTTGGTGCCTAAAAAAAATTTGCCAGGCGACTTAAAATTTACATTGGCAACTGAATTTTTTTGACTAGGAGCCAGCTGGCGCCTAAATTTTAGAGGTCACTTAGAGGCCTGAAAGGAGAAAATTTATGGCTGGGTCGGGAATTGACAGGTCCTCTACCAACTGAGCTATCCAGGCCAATATCCACACACTACATTCCTGCCTCCTTAAATTGTCTTTGCCCTCAAAGACACAACCCAAGTTCTTTTTGCCCCATCCTGGACTTTAACTTGCAAGTCCAGGGGTTGAAAAGGCATAAAATTATGTAAGAGGAAAGGAGAAAATGTATGGCTGGACCAGGAATTGAACCTGGGACCCCTGCATCACTAGTCAGGAGCTTACTGACTGAGCTACCCAGGCAAATATCCACGGCCCAAACCATTACATTCCTCCCTCCTTAAATCCTCTTTGCCCACAAAGACACCATCCCAGGCTGTTCCCTGGCAGGTCCTTCACTTTTCACTTCCAAGGGATGGCATGGCACCAAATGTAAAGGAAGAGGAGAAAAATGTGACAGACCAGACTGGGATTTGAACCTGAGCCCCCTGCATCACTATTCAGGTGACTGAGCTACCCAGGCCAATATCCATGGCCCAAACCATTACACATCTAAAAAACCACACTTGTAACTTTGATCCGCCTCTTCAAACTGATTATCTTGTGACTTTCACCCACTGACACTGAAGACGGACCCCATATGCCTGATTAGTTATGCTTCATTGCACTTGACACCTGTGATGGTATATAATACACTAGAGTACCTGTTTGTCAGTTTACTTATGAAACAGTTTTCTTTAGCTTTAGAAACATAAAGTTGAATTTTATTGCAACTAATTATGCCATATTTGGGGGTATAGCTTGGATACATATAAACACTAGACTATATTTTATTAATTACATATTAAAATAACCAATGAAATAAGGTTTTTATTGTTTTTTAGATGAACAGATACTGTAATAACTTAAGTGGGACTTGGCATAATTTTTCTGCATCAAATTCAGCTTTGACTCGACCTTCTTAAAATCCTGGGACTCCAGTTCACAACATCCTTGTGAGAAAGAACCTGAATGTTTAAGAAGCAAATAAATGACATCATATACACAAAGTCACTTTATTGAGGATACTACATGAGTTCTGTGGCAGGGAGATTCCAGAATTTTTTTGTAAATCTTTTAAAATAAGTCATTACTATGCTTTGGTCGCCATGTTGCTATTTGGGCACAGATTACTGGGAGTCGCAGAATTATTTATCATTTGTTTATATTGGTCCATTAAAATTTCTTTGAAGAATGTGTAGATTTCAACATGAATTTCCTCCATTTGTACACATTCCTATAGAGATCGCTGCATTGTCCTACAGTGAAGCTGTTATGATGAGCACAGTTCCCTGATTCTAATAGCTTGGACAAGTGCAGAAACCATTTAGCTCAGTGGAAGAGCATTAATAAAAACTTGCAGTGTGGATCTGTAACATTTTAGACAAGGAAATTCAAAGTAAACTACAGACTGCAGATGAATAAGTTAAAAAAAAAACATCAATGCAAACAGAGTAAAACTAAGCAATGGTTTTAATAATCCTTATATATGTAGTGAACGTTTTTACAATTCTGTTCATGAGTGATCTAGCATCTTAAATGTTTTATAGGCAGCTGTGTGAAATGTTAAATTTATTAAGGCTGTACTAATTAAGATAAAAATGAGACTTAAACCATTGTTAAAGATTTCAACAAAATGTTACATTTATATTTGTAGGCAATCTTGATGAGGTCAGGACACTTTTGAAAGATCCAGATGTCAGGGTGGACTTTACAGATGAGGTGATTATTTTATTTCTTATTTTTAAACAAAGGATGATTGTATTTTCTTTTGCAAGTACTTAACACTTTGGACTCATTTTATGGGGGCAAATTTTCATGGATATATATTAAAAGGAGGGAAGGCAATCAAATACAGAATTGCCAATCTGTTAATCGCAAGAGGTTCCGACCGATTAGTTCGTTAATTGTATCAAAATACACATTTTTTTATATGTATTTTCAAATAAGCCTTATTCATATACCCAAGAAGACTAAAAAAAAGATATAATTAATATTCTTTTTTTTATCAGAACTTTTAATATATATATATATATATATATATATATATATATATATATATATATATATATATATAAGTTTTTCAATTCTAATTGGCAAGGCTAATTAACACCCCCCCCCCCCCCCCCCCACTGGATCTTAATCCAGAGAGCCTTATTTTCCTCCAAATCAGCTTAAATAGTTATGGAAAATGTTAACTTATCAACATTTAGAGGTTTTTAAGGAAATTGTGTTGAAATTTACAAATATTTTATATTTTGGACTCTCTGATTTTCTAAGTGATTACCATTGTTCCTACCAAGTAACGGTTAACCAGTTAAAAATTGCCAGCCGCGATGAAATTTCATGGGGACTTGCTTATATAATTTCATGGACAAATGTGTTGTTAAAAAATACATCACCTATATTGTTTCGGTCATGAATTTGTAATGGGTACTCATGAATTCCTCGAAAAAATTCAACCCCATTGAATTATAATGATTCCACAGTAAACAGTCATTTATGCAATGAATTCAAAGGTACATTCAAATTTAAATGTTATTATCATTTTTTACTCCTATTCTTTTATTAAGAAATTCTGAAAACAAATATGCTATGTTTATTCATTGTGACAATTTGTATTATTTTTGTACTATTTCTCTATAGACTGGGATGACCCCACTACAACATGTGCTATATTTATTATTATGACAGTTTGTATTATGTTTGTACTATTTATAGACCGGGATGACCCCACTACAACATGCAGCCTTCAGAGGACATAAAGAAATGGTGGAGCTCTTCTTAGCTAATGGAGCAAATGTAAATTCAGATAAACATGAAAATTCTTACTCCACTTTGATGTTTGCAGCTTTATCAGGTATGATTTTGGGAAGAAAAATTAATTATCCAATACGATTATTTTTCTTTCAGTTTTGAGAGACATATGTGCAAAGTTATAATGCTAGAATCTTTATGCAAAATTGCTTTGAACATTCTAGATAATAGAAATTAGTTCAAAACATGTATAGACCTTTAAAGAAAAAAATTGGTATGATTGTCGAATATTAATGAGTATGATTATTGTTTATAGGTAACGCTGAAGTGACTCGACTAGTTTTAGAAGCTGGAGCAAAAGTTGATCACGTTAACTCTGTTGGTCGCACTGCAGCACAGATGGCAGCTTTTGTTGGTAAGACAGTATCTGTTATTAGAGGAGATAACTTAAACACTTACTTGCAGAGAAAGAGTGAATAATTTGAGTATTGGCTAAAACTTTTCATTGCAATTAAGGGAGATAATTTTTAGAAGGAACCATCAGAATAACGAATTAAAGGTGAAGTAAAATGTTTTTTCTATAATTTTCAGGTCAGCATCAGTGTGTGTCAGTGATCAATAACTTTTTCCCAAAAGAACAACTCTTGTATTTTACCAAGCCACAAGGTATGTAGATACCATTGCAGCCATTGAATCCACAGTATTTGCTGGCATCAGAATTTAAAGAACATGGCAGAGTGAAAGCATGAGTGCATGCTTAAATAACTCTAAATGATTGATAGAGGTGCTTGTCTTGTAGTGCCATTGTTTTTATTTGAAAACATTTCCCATAAATTACTGCATGCATATATATTCAAAAAAAAAGAAAAAAAAAATTTTGTAGAAATACCTTTAGGGGAAATCATTACCAAAAAAAAAAAAAGTTTTTTCTCTCATATATTGATTGAAAATCCTTAGATTGAAGTTGACAAATATTTTGTACAGGTTTGGAAAAAGAACCAAAACTTCCCCCTGAGATGGCCCCAGCTCTCTGTAAAATGATAAACATGCCAGATCTTCACCCTGTCAAGGTATATTAACTAGTGTGAAATCAGAGGTGCAAGGCCATTTTAGTCTGCACACTGAAATTTATATTGTTCTTAAAAGAATCAAATACACTTATACAAACAGGGAATGATTTTGTGTTTAAGTTTCAGTTTTATGCCCTGTAAATAATTTTATTCGCAAGAATTTAATTTTTGTACAATTTTACCGGATTGTTAGGTCTTGTGTAATTATGATGATGAGTAGTAACTGAAGTAACTTGTTGTAAGAGGGTATAGAAAACTTATTTAGATATGATGCTATTGAATAGCACCCATTAATATTTGTTATTCCTCTGTTGAGAATATTCAAATTTGAATGGCTTGTAAGAAGGCTTTAAAACTCAATAATGACTCCAAAAAGTACTGTTTACAGAAATAATGACTTAGAAATCTTTGCACATGGAATTGGAATATAATGACCTGGAAATTATAAATATTGAACCACTAAATAATAACCTGTTAATTAAAATTCCCTTCAAATTAAGCTAATTGCATACAGTAATGATTATACGCTAAAACATGCCGTTATAAAATGTGCTTTGTCTGTTTATGAGAGTTGTTACAGAATTAGATAGATCTATATGTCATAAAATTTATCATTTATTCACTGAACATTTCGTTAAAATATCAAATTCAAGGAATCAGATTTGACTCTTATACAGTAAAAATCTGCACCATATTTTCATTGTTCTTAGGAATAGTAATTGAGTATTTATAACAGTGCATGTTACTGACAATCACAGTTTGTTTTTTTTTTTCGAACAGCAGTGCAAAAACTTACAATGTACCTATAAGACTTGCAGGTTAAAATGTAAACATCTTCACAAGTGAATGCAGATCTCGATCAAGAATAAACAATTTTTGTAGGCCTAATATACAATTTCAGTATTAAGCTACTAAAGTTGTTTCATATAATATTAGTATAATAATTAGTTAACCCACATGAGTTCAACATGGTGAAATAAGGACCAGTGGCTGACCTGACTGACCTCGACCACTACCTGGCCACAGTCAGGTCACCTTGTGGGCCAGGTGTCAGGTCCTTATTTCACCATGTTGCCCTCATAAGGGGTAATTAATTGTACAGTAAAATACGCTCATAACGACGTGCCAGGGACAGAAGATTTTGCTTCGCTATAAGCGTAATTTGTTATATCCATTAAGCTTACAATATATTTTAAAGTCATAGGGAATGAAAATCACTTTGATGTAAGTGCCAATTAATTATAAGGATGTTTGCTATAAGCGTATTTTTCTGTATAATATATATATATATATATATATATATATATATATATATATATATATATATATATATATATATATATATATATATATATATATATATATATATATATGTGTGTGTGTGTGTTGGGCCCTTGAATTTCAATATATATCTAAACTGTATAGTGCTAATGAATTGCAAAAATAAATATCTACATTGTATTTCAGTTATGTATGTATCTCCAAGACCATCCAGGTCTTCTTGAGGCCTATCAAGGGATTGTAAGATTATTTGAAATTTTGTGTGAACGGAGCATGAAAGCTAGAGACACCAATGATATCTTTGCCATGAAGACTCATTATTATTCAGTGCTTTTTAAAACAGCTGGGAAAATGTACAAAGAGAAAGGAAATATTGACAGTTTCATAAAATCGTAAGTCTTTCTCTTTTGAAAACTTTACACTTTCATACCATTTTCTTTTGTGTTCATTCTTTTGCAAAATTATTCCATTTTTATATTGTCTGATTGTTATGAGATTAACTCTGTCAGTACTTTCAGTTTTGAAGTATGCATATTGCTGTTGATCTGTAGTCCAAGACATATTCAATATATTTTACAGCACTTATAGGGTGACAAGATATTATCATGACTGTATTGATATGATTTTTGTAAGTTGTTCAGGCTCATCTTAAAGAAACAAAATCTCCTTCTAGCTGCTTTGATAATTGAGGACTTACTTAGAGACCATTATGCCATTGCATATAAGTGATAGATAATGAATTTATTTCACTTTAACTCTCCTTTTTTTAAAAGCTTAATAAGAGGAAGAGAAAGTGATGGTTTTCCAGAATTTCAGGAGAAATTTCTTCGACAAGTTTTACGAGAATTTCCTTACGCAGAGTCTGAGCTCCTGCAACAGATGGTGCGGAATTTAGCCAACACACAAATAGTGAGTTATTCTGGAATTTCATCTACATTGCATAAATTGACTGATGAAAATTTGTTCCAAAGTTTTCACTTTAAAGGTTATTTAAACTTGTAGAGTTTAATGAAGAAATATTTTCTTTTTAAGGTACGGTATATCACTCGTCAGCTTTTGAGAAAAGTTTTGTCAGAACCTCTTAACTTCAAAAATATTTATAACAATTCAACTTTTATGACATATTTGAATTATACAATATTCAATTAAAAAACTGCTCACAAAATTGAAAGAAACAAGATTTATGGGAGTCTATTTCTTGTGGTGGAAGGATATTTAGAAGAAAATTCTTCAAATCTCCACATTTGTTTGATTTAATATCTTAGAACTTTAACCCTAGGCTACATATTTTTACTCAGAGATTTTTTTTTCTGCATTATTATATGTTAGGAATATTAATATATATTAATTATCTGCATTAATTTGCAGATTTTTTTTCAATAATAAATATTATTCAAACTATTTTACATAAATAAGATTATATATATGGCCATGATTATGATAAAGGTTAAAGTAATTAACCTAAAAGTTGCAATTTTTAATGCAAAAAGCTCAAGTTAATTGTACCATTGCCCAGTAAGATGCACACTTACTCCCAATTGTCTTTAGGATTTTGAGTCATGTTACATGTATATGAGTAGTTATCAAAAATATACATCTGATAAAATCCTTGATATAACTAATGTTACAAGCGACATTGTCTCACAAGACTGTTCTTTGACAGGGAGATCACCCCACAGCATTATACATTTTGTGTCAGGGGATTAATGGACAAAAGTTCATGGATCAGGATGATATTTGTAGTACATGTGGGAGTCTGAGAGCTCAGAAAAAATGCTCAGCTTGTAAAATGGTAATTGTTAAAAAGGCACTATTCATGTAAACAAATACAAAAAAGTATGTTTTTATCATGTATTTTATTTTTAAATGTTTTGGTAGTATTTTTTCATTGTGAAATAAATTGTTTATATTTTCATATTGAATGCATTTTCGTTTGTAAATTAGTGAAATTGTATATATATGGATTTGTCTTATTCAAACACACAAGGCCATTGATTTTTCTTAAAGGTTTGCTACTGCAATCAACTATGCCAAAAATTACATTGGAGCACACATAAAAAGTTCTGCAAGAAGTTAGCAGGTATAGTATTGATAAACTCATGGTGTTCTATACTACTATATAGCATCAACCTTCCCACCCAACAGGTATAGCATTGATAAACTTATAGTGTTGTATAGTGCACTATATGTAGCATCAACCTCCCACCCAACAGGTATACATTGATAAACTCATATTGTTGTATACATGTAGTACACTATATGTAGCATCAACCTCCCACCCAACAGGTATACATTGATAAACTCATTGTGTTCTATAGTACACTGTATATAGCATCAGATTCTCGCCCCAACAGTGGAGGGAGTGATTCCCAATAATGTTGTTAATTATCCAGCTGCAGTCAAGTGTGTATGGGAATTTACTCGGGTTTTATTCCATACACCCCGAGGATGAATGCGAAAGGGTGTATGGAATACAACCTGGGATAAATCCCTGTACACCCTTGATTGGACCTGGATAACAAATTTATTTCTTATGTAACCAAATATATATTTGTAAACTTGAGGCCAATCAGTGATGTTTCATGTTTCAACTATCCATAAGATTACTGAGTGTTGCAATGCATCGCAACGTCATGTTATTTGCATTTTGTGATAGAGAAACTGTTCATTGTGACGTTACGTTATTTACTTCCGGCTTGAGTCGGGTGTATGAAGATTTACACCTGGCTTGCTTACCAATCAAATCTTACATTACAAGCTTCTTAGGAAATAATAGCTTTTGTCTGGGAACAGCTGATGTCACTACCTGTCATAATTAAAATACAAACTTAAGATTTTTACTACAAAGTTGATCCTCATTGTCTAATTTATTTGTAAATTTACAACTAAGAAAAAACTTTACATCCATCATTTGAATTCTGAATTGAGGAACATGAACTATGATTGTGAAGTGTTTAGCAACCATTGTAATAAATTGAGTTAGTGGTAAGTTTTGAATGTGAGCTTACAATGAATTTCTTTTACAGAGGAATACAAACAGTTAGAGGAAAAGAAAAAAGAGGAGGAAAAGGAAAAAGAAAGACAGGAACAATTATTGAAGGACCAGCAGCAGAAAACAAATAGTCAACAAGAAAAACAGGGTGAGGAAAATAGAGGAATTAACTCTCAGTAATGACTTCTAGTATCTGTGCACAGATAAGATCGGGGTTTTATTTTAACAGCTATTAATATATTGTACAGATGGTCTTTGGAAAGATTGCAGCTTTAGTCTTTTAGATTAAGTAATCAAATCAGTTTAAACTTGCTTTAGTGTGGCTTTCCTTTAGCATGATTAATATATCAAGAAAATATACAGTGAATCTGTATCCACAATATTACCTTGTGTTAACTCTTGTTTATTTAAAGTCTTTTAGTACGTATATTACCATGTGAATGATATCAGTGTATAATATACACTCACCTATTAGTAGGATTTTTGTGAGTAAGATAGGTAGAAACAGAAGTATTTTTCTGGATGGCAAAATTCCACTGTGACTTTGAAAATTTCTGTACTTGTCCATAATTATTATTTCTTTATACAGGATATAAAAGTGTGATTTCTTTGAAATAGGTCAAGATATTGTCTTCATATGTAATGATCTTAATCCATAATTACATATATATTCCATTTTATACTTTTTTTTCAGATAAAGACATAACAGAGAATGGAGTTGACAAAGGTTCTGAGGCAACAGAAGACATCACTGCTAAAACAGCAGAACTGTAGACTGTTATTATCTCCTAGTCATACATTCCATCCAAAATCATTGTTTTCTATGTTAAGTCTGTATGTTTATGTTGTGTTTGTTATTGATAGACACATAAGCATAATTTAAACTGAGATTGCAAAGATACACAAACCAGAAAAACAAAATGGCAATTAATAAACAAGAGTCAATGTTGCAGAAAGAGGAAGATGACTTGTTCATCTCAAGTTTTAGATCCTCATCTTGTTTTAAAGTTCATATTTTATTGCTTACATTCGTATGTTGGTGCTAGATAGATCTGTGTCTTGTTTGTTTTCTTCTCTGTTGTTTACATTAGTGATTTTTATTGAAGTTAGGCAGAATAATATCAATTATGTTTGTGCTTTTCTTTATATAGGCATTAGTCTTATAACCTCTGTTATATATTCCATATATAATAAGGTCAAAAGACAATTTAATAGGCAGAAAGATGGATTTTTTGAATTAAGATAAATGAAGGGTTGTAGGTATGTATGCATTTATTTTTATCCTGCAACTACCCCTTGCATTGACCTAATAAAGGTAACCTAATAAAGCTTTATTCGGTCAATGCCCTAATAAAGCCTCATGGATGTATTCCGACGTTCTAAAAGCATTGTTACATCATGAATATTGCAATGTTTATGCCATGGCGTCTTAGTTTCAACTGCAGAGGAGATGTACCTAAATCGATTGAAAATAGCTCGTTTTGGAGGTCACGTAAAAATATGTTGCAGGATAAACAAAATACATGGTTACTGTCTTGAAATATAAGCGATATTTGGGCGAGGGTAAGAAAACGTGATAGAGGGCTCGGCAAGCCTTGCCCTCTATCACGTTTTCTTACCCTCGCCCAAATATCGCTTATATTTCAAGACAGTAACCATGTATTTTATATATATGGGAGCTACTACTTAAGGACGTTCGATCCTGAGCTTTTGAGCAGATTTTGGTCTTGAACTTTATTTCTAAAATTCTGCATTATTTTTAAGTTCTAACATTAAATCTGGATTCTACAATGCAAATTATACTATATCCAATGAAAAAACCGCAATTAAATTCCATTCAAATAGGATTAAGCCAGGAACTATATTTTGTGGCGGAAGGTTTTTTAGAAGAAAATGATCATTTTTTCCCTTTTGAAATATATACAGTACTGTTAAGTTTAGATTCCTATTTTTCCATGCTGGTTGCACACAGAGCTATTTTGTGCATTGAAATGATTAATGCTGGTTCTAAAATATTAATTAAATCAGTTTTTTGTGAATTCTATCATCATATTGTGACAAATATAGAAAATATATTCTGAAACTCCAGGAAAAAATTGAGCCAATTTTATAATAAAATTAACAGTTTTTTAGTAATATCTAAAAAATAACATCATAGACCTCCACTTTTGATTTTCTTTTCTGAATATATAAGATAACTCTGATCAATCTACTTAAATTCAGCAAAAGTTTAAGACTTTAAAATATTTTTCTTGCTTGTTAAATTTTTAATGCCCGAAAAATGAGATTTTGTGAGTGCAGAAAGGTCAAATAATTGATTATGCGAAGCAATTTGAAATTTTTTTTTTGGTCACAATTTTAATGTGTCTTTTTTAAGAGAGAATAATAGCATACTTTGTCCCATGATTTATTTGGATAAAAAATATTGGAGGGAAAACGTCAAAGATGTTATTTTTGATTAAGACACAAATTCAGTGCAAAAAGGTCATTTTAAATGTACTGTAGCGCCAAAAGAAGCATATTGACCCCCATATTTTGTTTTGATTTTTAATTAAGCTATGTGTGTAGAAGCTAAAAATATACTTGACAAAAAAAGTTTAAGACTTTAAATATCAGGATCCAACGTCGTTAATTTAAAAGGGCCCAACAAGGACTTCAAAATCTAGTTTTTTGGGTTAAAAAACTTGCATATCAAAATTCTTTTTTGGCTTAGATTTGAAAAATTGACTTAATAGAAGAAAAGGTAATTTTGGTGGAATATTAAAACTTTTCAAACAAGAATTGTGACAATTATGTGAAACAACAATCAAAATTCTAATTTTTTACACGTATAAAAGAGGAGAAAATCAAGGTTTAGATCTAATTATTTATATCCCTAACACAAGTTTGAATGATGAAATTAATTCCTTTTGGTTATATAGATTATATATGTATTATATATATTCTAAGTGATATGATTTAGAAAAGAAGGCAATTTAATGTTTTTGCCCCCGTAATTGAAGATTCAGGGGCATATACATGTAGTTTTTGGTCTTATGTTTGTTTGTCCCAAAAACTTGAATGTTGCCCATAACTTCTGAATGGTTTGTGCTAAGGCACTCATACTTCACCTGTGTATTCCTTGTGACGACTTTCTTGTAATACCAACATATTTGACATCTTGACCTTGGATTTTGATCTACCTTTGAAAAATTTTATGAAAAATTAAACCTTGACCTTAAATTTTGAACAGTTGGAACTAGGGCTTTTATATTTCACTTGTGTATTTCTTGTGAAAAGACCTTTGTTTTTGGTACCAACATATTAGTCTTCATGCCCTTGACCTTAGAAAACTTTAACCTTGACTGTAATTTTTTTCTGAATGGTTGATGCTAGGGCCTTAATATTTCATATGTGTATTCCTTGTGACAGGAATTTTCTTTTGGCACCTGTATTTTTTACCCCTTGACCTTGAACTACATTTGAAAAAATAACCTTAACCTTGATCTGACATACGGGGGCACCAGTCTTTCACAAACACATCTTCTTTTGTTTTGTTTGTTTGTTTTGTCGTTTTGTACTTCTTCCTACTAGAATTTTGTTCAGTGTTTTAATGTGTAGTTTTTCAACAAAATTTGCAATAAAATGATTGTTCAAAATGTTTTTTCTTTTACTTTTTCTGTACAGTGAAGAGTGATATGACACTTAAGGCTCAAGTGTCAAGATCATTAAATTGTCATTGATTTAAGCTTTATATACAGTAAAACTTGTGACTGGTTCCATAAGAATGGGTCGGACAACAATTCTGGATTAGACAACATTTCAAACAATTGAATTCTCTGAAAAAGACTAAAAATTTTCACCAAAATATGCAATATTTCGAATACACATCTTGATTATAAAAGTTTTACTTTGTTTATAATGAGATTTACATTTTTTTATAACCCTGATGATTTTATTTTCATCAGGAATTTTAGATATTTACTAAATATTTTGATGAAAAAGGAAGTTGGGAGGTATGTAATGATTGATTGTTGATTCTGCTCTTGTGTAATTTTTTTGTCTCTACACTGCTGAAATCAGGTCACATACTTCACCAGCATGATTCAGAAACTCAGTTTTGATTGTTCTTCAGGGACCTGTTCAGAATGTCATTTAAATTTTGCACATGAAAAAAATGTTACCCCCTCCCACTCCTAACCTGGCAAATTTGGTTGTCCTTTAAACTTTCATTATTTAGGTCTTTCCACCTTTCTGTGGAAAGACCTATTGAAATTGTTCTGTTTATTATTAGGTCTTTCCACCTTTCTGTGGAAAGACCTCTTGAAATGCTTATGTTTATTATTATTTTATTTCTCACCAGGACTTTTGAAACCGCAAAACTTATCAAAAGAATTTATAGTTCATGATACTGAATATAAAAAGTTATTCCGAAAAACGACCCCCCATGTTTGAACTTTGACCTCTTATGCAGTTATTGCCCTTTTCACCGTAAAGCTTGCTATCGCTACTCCTTTGAAACCTTAAACCGTAGAAGTACGGAACCTTCACCAATGTATTCGACTAATTGAGGGGACTCTTCAATCTTTTCATTGCGAAACTATTCGTTGAACCCTTCAATGAGTTATTGCCCCTGAAAGTTTTTGAAGTTTACAAATAATCAAAAAATTTCAAAACAATAAGTCGTAGAGACATGGAACCAACTGCATTAGATTCTTTGACCTTTGACCTTGAAATTTATATGAAGGTCAAAGGTCAAGGTCATTCCATATATGAAAAATATATTTCCTTCTATAGCTCTTTTGTTCTTAAAGATTTATTATCTATTGTTACGTAATTAATATGTACTCTTTAAGCTATTTACAATATTTCTTTCTTGTCCCCTAAGTTTAACCCTTTTGAAAGTTATTGCCCCTTGTGCAAAAAACCTTGTTATCGCTACTCCTCTGAAACCGTAGACTGTAGAGACATCAAACCTTCAATAATGTCTTCAGGGTCTTTAGACACAACTTCAATCTATTCAGTGCGAAAGTATCTGATGACCCCTTGTATGAGTTATAGCCCTTTAACGTCTTTGCGCTTACTATTAAACCTTATAACTTTAAAACTAAAAGTCGTAGAAGCATGGGGTCAAGTGCAATGTGACCCTTGACCTTTGACCTTGAATATTTATTCAAGGTCAAAAGTCAAGGTCATTTCAATTTTTTCAAATTTTCATTTTTTCTATCTTTCAAGCCATTTATGGATTCTTTTTGTATAAAAATTAAGTTTAGAAAGTGAAATATGAAAAATATATGAAATTTAAGGTGGAAAGACCTCTAATTGTTCGAGAACAATTAGTCTACTAGTTATTATTATTTTTATTATTTTTCCGCCGAATGGTTTTTTGTTTTAAAAGTTATCAAAAAGATTTATGGTCCATAAGAATGCACTTCGTAAAAGATTTTTACAGTTGACCCTGCATATATGAACTTTGACCCCTCAAGGAGTTACAACCCCTTTCGCAATAAAAGCTTGTTATCGCTACTCCTTCAAAACCCTAAACCATAGAGATACGAAACCTTCACTAATGTCTTTGACTAATTTAGTAGACTCTTCAATCTATTCAGTGCGAAAGGTTGCATAAACCCCTTTAATTAGTTATTGCCCCTGAAAGTTTTTGATGGTTACGAATAATTAATTTTTTTCTAAACGATTAATCGTAGAGACATGGGACCAATAGCATTGGCATGTGTGACCTTTGACCTTGAAATTTATATAGAGGTCAAAGGTCAAGGTCATTCAAAATATGAGAAAATTAGCTGTTTTAATATCTCTTTTGTCTTTGAACTAGGGATGTCAAAATATTTATTTTCCTTAGTCGATCATTCGATTGCATTATTCGAACGATAGTCGAATATTCGGAACATTTTCTGAAAATAAAATTTTATTTCATACTTCATTGGTAAATACTCAGAAACCTTTTTACTTAAATCTATTTAAAAAGTAACATCGAAATTAATCAACGTAACGCGTGGATAGCATGATTCTATGAAATAAATTTAGAAACCTAATTCTCCAAAATTTATTATTTTCCCGTAAATAGAATTCATAAATCGGCCTGTACATGCAGTCATTTTTTATTTAGTGAGCATTAAAAAATTGCCAGCCGATATTTTTTAAAGCTTATTATTAAATAAAATGGAAGGGGGGGGGGGGGCTAACAAAATGTCTTCAAACAGTTTGAAATGTAAGCGCATTGTTTTAGTAATTATCGATGTACCAAAACAGGTTTATTCCTTGCATTTGAGCAAACTT